AGAGGAGACTGGGGAAAGATTGCCTGTGGAGCTCAGGAATGAATCATAAAGAACAACATTTTTAGAAATGAATACTGAACTGTTAATAGAAGAAGCACAATAGTGCACTCACACCGTTGAGAGTACAGTATTTGGAAATAAATGACAGAGAAGAAAAAGATCAAATATGAAGAGATAAAGCATCATGACAAATTGTTAGGGACAGGATATAGGCAAAGCAGCGCCCAGCCAACAGGTAACTGGAGTCCCCGTTCCATTACCTATAGCCACGTGACAGGTTGCCCCAAACTCAGAGGCTTGAGGCAGCAATTCATTACCCGTTTTCTTTCTTTTTTTTTTTTGAGACAGAGTCTCGCTTTGTGCCCAGGCTAGAGTGAGTGCCGTGGCATCAGCCTGGCTCACAGCAACCTCAAACTCCTGGTCAAGCGATCCTGCTGTTCTCAGCCTCCCGAGTAGCTGGGACTACTGGCATGCGCCACCATGCCCAGCTAATTTTTTAAGTTGGTCAATTAATTTCTTTCTATTTTTAGTAGAGATGGGGTCTTGCTCAGGCTTGGTTTTGAACTCCTGACCTTGGGCAATCTGGCCGCCTCGGCCTCCCAGAGTGCTAGGATTACAGGCGTGAGCCACCACGCCTGGCCATTTAGCCCATGTTTCCGTGGGGTGGCCGGGTGGTCTTGCTCTTCTGACCTGAGTTCCCTGCTGTGGTTGCAGTCCCTTGACTGGATACCGCTCATGGTCCCAGGCCACTGTCAGCAGGGCCACCTTGGTTCTCCTCCCCATGTACCCTCCAGGGGCCCGGCCAGCTTTCTCCCAGCACCCTGGTCTGGGCAGTGCTGCCGGAGCAAGAGCAGGAGTAGGAGTTGTCTGGATTCCTGAGGCCTGTGGTGTCCCTGTTGCCCGCACCATTGGGAGAGCAAAGCAGGCTGGCCTAGATCCAGAGGCTGATAGACTCTGCCTCTCGACAGGAGAGCCGCATGATGCTGTGGCCATGTTTTCAATTTCCGTTTGTTTTTTGAGACAGAGTCTCACTCTGTTGCCCGGGCTAGAGTGCCGTGGCATCAGCCTAGCTCACAGCAACCTCAAACTCCTGGGCTCAAGTGATCCTCCTGCCTCAAGCCCCAAGTAGCTGGGACTACAGGTATGCACCATCATGCCTGGCTAATTTTTTCTATGTATTTTTAGTTGTCCAGATAATTTATTTTTATTTTTTTAGTAGAACCGGGGTCTCACTCTTGCTTAGGCTGATCTCGAACTCCTGAGCTCAAGTCATCCCCCAGCCTCACCCTCCTAGTGTGGTGGGATTACAGGTGTGAGCCACCGTGCCCAGCCTATTTTCCCACTTCAACAGTCCCCAGAGAAAAGAATCAAAACAATGATACAGGCCGGGCACAGTGGCTCATGCCTGTAATCCTAGCACTCTGGGAGGCCGAGGCGCGGATGCTTGAGGTCAGGAGTTCGAAACCAGCCAGAGCAAGAGCAAGACCCGTCTCTTACTATAAAGAGAAAGAATCAATTGGCCAACTAAAAATATATAGAAAAAATTAGCCAGGCATGTGGTGCATGCCTGTAGTCCCAGGCTACTCGGGAGCTGAGGCAGGAGGATCACTTGAGCCCAGGAGTTGAGGTTGCTGTGAGCGAGGCTGATGCACGGCACTCACTCTAGCCTGGGCAACAAAGTGAGACTCTTGACTTGTCTCAAAACAAACAAACAACAACAAAAAACAATGATACAGAGCAAATGCTAAGAAACAACAACTCAAGAACACATTCTGAAATGAAATACTAAATCTCCATATTGCAATGGCATCCACACATCTTGAAAATTAGATCGAGACTGATATACACCAAGACGTTTTTTAGTAAACTTATTAGCCTTTAAAGAAAATGAAAATGATAAATCTTTTGGGGATACAGGAAAAAGCCTCAAGCCACATATAAGGGGAAGAAGAACCAGGCTGGCATCAGACGTGTCACAGCGATATTTTAGGACGGAAGGTAGGGAGCAGAGGGAGCTCTCGGCTGGGCCTGGACGGTTCCTGGGTGAGACGGGAACTTGGAGCACACCACATCTGGCAGCTTTTGTCTGCCCCTTCTTTTCACAGATTGGCGCAATTGAGGCCTGCAGCCGGAAAGGGAATGTCTGCCCCCAACACATACGCCCCGATTCCAGGCTTCCCTCAGTATCCTCCATTGATAAAGCCCTGTCCCCAGGCAGGGTCATGTGCCAACTGTCTGGCCACCTCTCTCACTCCCTTTTCCATCTGGGCCACGCTCACCCCTTCTCTGCCAGGCTACCTCTGTCTTTATGTGACCCTTCTGAGAGCCTGTGTTGTAGCAGGAAGCTGTAGTGAGGTCTGAGGCCAAGAGTCACTATTTTTGTGCAACTGGACAAGTCAGCTGTCTTCTCTGTGCCCTGTTGCAGTCGTTCATTCTTTTCAACAAATACTTATTGAGAGCCTGTGTTTGTGCCATGGGCTGCTCTACATGAACAAAAAAAGTCTTGCTTATATTGTAGTTGGAGAAATAGAAAAAGAACAACCAAAAAACAGCCAGGCAGAGTAGTTCCAAGCTTACTTGAGCTGAGGCAAGGAGGATCTGCCTTGAGCCCAGGAGTTCCAGGCAGCAGTGAGCTGTGATCACAGCTGTGAACAGCCACTGCACTCCAGCCTGGGTGACACGGCGAGACGTATTCTTCTAAAAGAAGAAGCCAGCTTTATGCAGTGGTAGTACCATAGCCAATGAGGGTTAGCTGTGGCATGATTATTGCTAATGGAAAACCAGTACCCCCTGTGACGACTTGCAATATAGCTGACATTGGCAATTTCTGACCATCTCTACGGAGATGGAATTAAAAAAAAAGAAGAAGAAAATAAGGGAATGACGGACTTAAAATTCTCAAGGTAATGGAATAAGAATCAAGGATATTGTTCCCAGCCAATTCGACCTTCACGTATAAAAGCCACAGAGCAACTATTATAAACATCCCAAACCTGGGGAATTTACTACAGACCACCAAAACACTGAGGAAAATAGGAAAATGCTGTCATCGTTACATTTATCCACACGTGTCCAACCTGGGTCAGATCCCTCCTGTCCACAGTCACTCCGCCTCTTTGTGATTTGGGGTCAGCTATTGATTACCCATTCCATGAAAGATCTACAGCTAAGTTTTAATCCCAAACTGACCTCCTCCCCCCATTCAGCATGCTCCAGAACTTTCCTGTTTGGGGGGGGGTAAAGGAAACTCTGATGAGGCTGGGTGTGGTGGCTTATGCCTGTAATCATAGTACTCTGGGAGATCGCTCAAGGTCAGAAGTTCGAATCCAGCCTTGGCAAGAGTGAGACCCCCGTCTCTACTAAAAATAGAAAGAAATTGGTCAACTAAAAATATATAGAAAAAAACTAGCCGGGCATGGTGGCACATGCCTGTAGTCCCAGCTACTCAGGAGGCTGAGGCAGGAGGATCATTTGAGCCCAGGAGTCTGAGGTTGCTGTGAGCTAGGCTGATGCCACGGCACTCACTCTAGCCTGGGCAACAGAGTGAGACTCTGTCTCAAAAAAGAGAAAAGAAAACTCTGATGGTAATAACAACAGAACGTCACAAGCCATAGAGACACGTGGACAACCCATATATGAGACTGGCCCAGCCCAGCAACCGGCGAGGGGAGCCGGCCCAGCCCGTCCCACCTTGTTGTTCCTCTCAGGGTTGCTGCGCCCCGGCAGTGCCTGCCAGCGTGGCGGTGCCGGGTCTCGTCCCGTGTCCCTGAGGAGTTGCTTTGCTGGGTGGCGCCGTGAGCCCTGGGCCTGCACCCCACGGCTAGGCCGCCTGATGGAACTGCCGTTGGAGCCGCCCCGTGCATCATGTATCCTGCTCCCCTCCGGGCAAAGCAGGTGTCTCGCTGGGTTTGAGCTGGCAGAGCGTGACGTGCACACTTTCCAGATTTGAAGGTTCCAGGGAAATAAGAATGTCAGCTCCCTTCCGTCCCCACAAGCTCCTGCTTCCGTGTCAGTCTGTGTTCAGACCGTCCCTCCTCCCCCAGGTTTTTCCTCTGTTCCGAGCTCTGGGTGCCAATGGCCTGCTCATCGAGTACGAGGACATGTTCCCCTACGAGGGCCCCCTGAGGCTGCTGCGGGCCAGGTACTCCTACAGGTGAGTGCTCTCGGGAGGTGGGGGTGATGGGGTGGGGGACCATCAGGAACGTAACAGTGGGGCCTGCATTCCTTTCCTGTCTTTCTAAATACGTTATCTTCAGTTATAAAATCGAAACAGGTTGTAAAGTAAAGCACACTCACTGAGAGAATTTAGGAACCTGGAAAGAGGAAGTAGCAGAGCTGCCGGGGCACCGTGCAGGGAGGCGGCTGCTCCTGAGGCCACAGCTGGGTCTCGGGGTGACGGGAGAGGAGCAGAGGCAGTGAGATAGGACGTGGTGGAGATGGGAGGCACCTGCTCAGCTTTCAGATCACAGGTCTCTGCGTCGATCAGTATGAGTGTCCCAAAGGAAAAGTGGGCAGAGGACGTTAGCCGGGAGATCTCAAAGGAAGAAATAAAAATGGCCAAAAAGCGGCCAGGGGAATGGTGACTCATGCCTGTAATCCTAGCACTCTGGGAGGCCGAGGCGGGAGGATCGTTTGAGCTCAGGAGTTCAAGACCAGCCTGAGCAAGAGCGAGACCCCATCTCTACTAAAAATAGAAATTAATTGGCCAACTAAAAATATATAGAAAAAATTAGCCAGGCATAGTGGCGCATGCCTGTAGTATCACCTACTCCGGAGGCTGAGGCAGGAGGATCGCTTGAGCCCAGGAGTCTGAGGTTGCTGTGAGCTAGGCTGACGCCACGGCACTCTAGCCTGGGGCAACAGAGTGAGACTCTGTCTCAAAGGAAAAAAAAAACAAACAAAAAAAACCGGCCAGTAAACATAGCAGAAAACACTAAGCAGGAAGTTAAAACGGCAGTGTGGCACCATCCAGGCACCAGACTGGGATGTCCCGACCGTCCTCGGGTAGAGTTCAGGGAGGCTTTTAAAGAAATCATAGTCTCCTGTGTTCACGAAGAGGAGAAAAAGCAGATATATTTAGAAAACAGGCAACTTTGTCTAATGCACAAATTTATAGCACTGATTAGCCTAAGAAATGGTTCAAACGTATATAAAAATGAGAAGTAGCTTCCCTTTTTAGATAAATTCATAAATGGCGACTCGAGACGTAGCTGTGAAAAGTGAGAAAGCCGACACAGGGTAGCGCGCCCTTCCCAGCACGTGCCCCCCGAGGGTTCCCACCCCGGTCGAGGGTACGGACACAGGTGATGGGATTTGCCCTCGGCCAGGGGCAGCTCCTGCTCTGGAGTGGGCGGGCTCCTCGCCCGGCCCGATGTCGTGCAAGGTGCAGACGACCTCACCCTCCTGTGCAGTTCCGTTAAGAGCAGCTGATGAGGCCGGGCACGGCGGCTCACACCTGTAATCCTAGCACTCTGGGAGGCCCAGGCGGGCAGATCACTCGAGGTCAGGAGTTCAAAACCAGCCTGAGCAAGAGCAAGATCCCATCTCTACTCAAGATAGAAAGAAATTAATTGGCCAACTAAAAATATATATAGAAAAAATTAGCCAGGCATGGTGGCGCATGCCTGTAGTCTCAGCTACTCGGGAGGCTGAGGAGGAGGATCGCTTAAGCCCTGGAGTTTGAGGTTGCTGTGAGCTAGGCTGACCCCGTGGCACTCACTCTACTCTGGGCAACAAAGTGAGACTGTCTCAAAAAAAAAAATAAGAGCAGCTGATGAAAAGCAAGCTCTTACCTGAGGATATGAGAGCGTCATTTCCCCAGATTCCAGACTGGGTGCCTTCCCCGAAACCTTGAGAATCGCTGTGGAGCTTTTTGGAGTTAGCAGCCTCACGGTTTTGCAGGAGGGCCCTCCAGGGTCCAACAGGGAGGGCTGGGGGCGTGTGGAGTGGCCGCTGACCATGCTGGCTCGACCCTCTCTCCAGCCCCTCTGAGATCAAAGAGATCCTGCGCCTGGCCAGCCTGAACCAGCTGGAGGTGGTGCCCTTGGTGCAGACGTTCGGACACATGGAGGTGAGTGGCAGGACGGAAGGTGCTGGGTGCTGGGTGGGGCCCGAGGGTGGCCAGGCCTGGCCCGCTGCACGGGGGGCCTTAGCCCTGGGAAAGGTGGCAGGGCAGCCTCCACCCGGGGCTGGAGAGGGGTCCTGGGGTCCAGTGGGGTCCCCTTCTTACCTTGTATCCACACAAGTGCTGTTGTGTGAGGCAAGAACAACAGGAAGGATTGGAGCCGTGCTTTCCATTTTCTGTTTGTGTCTGTTTTCACTTTAATGCTAAAAATATTTTCCCAAGCCCCGATGTGATCTTCAGAAATATTCTTCATGTCTGCACCAAACACATGGGAGACGAACTAAACACAACATTGATCGAGTGGCTCTTGGGTTCCACGTGACTCCCTAAGAAATGCACGTGGTGGACTTACCAACAGCCCCTCCTCCTTGTCTCCGTTCCCTCCCGCGCTTGCCCTGCCGGGCGCCGGAGCTCAGGCCTCTCGTCCGTAGCTGCTGGAAATGGCCCACTGTTCCAGCACCGTCTGTCGAAAAGACTCTCCTTCCTTCTAGGAACTGCCTTTGTACCTGCGTCGGAAACCAGCCAGCCATACTCACGAGGGTCGATTCCAGACTCTGTCCCGTTCTGCTGATGCGTTGTGTCTTCCCTCGGCTGACGCCGCAGTATCTGTAGTTCCCCATAAATCCGAACATCAGGACGTGTGGTGCCTCCAACTTCATTCCTCCTTCCCAAAATTGGTGGGACTAGTCTCGTTCCTTTGCCTCTTCATGCATGTTTTATTTTATTTTATTTTATTTTTTATTTTTTTTTAGACAGAGTCTCACTTGCTTGCCCGGGCTAGAGTGCCGTGGCGTCAGCCTAGCTCACAGCAACCTCACACTCCTGGGCTCAAGCAATCCTCCTACCTCAGCCTCCCGAGTAGCTGGGACTACAGGCATGCACCACCATGCTCGGCTAATTTTTTTAAATATATTTTTAGTTGGCCAATTAATTTCTTTCTATTTTTAGTAGAGATGGGGTCTCATTCTTGCCCAGGTTGGTCTCGAACTCCTGGGCTCAAACGATCCTCCTGCCTTGGCCTCCCAGAGTGCTGGGATTACAGGTGTGAGCCACTGCGCCTGGCCCACACATACTTTAGATTTGGCCTGTCTGCACATCTGTGAAAACCTTGCTGGTGTTTTGGTTGGAAATGCATTGAATCCGTAAAGCAGTTTGTTTCCAATCCGTGAACATGTGGTGTCCACCATCAATTGTGTTTTCCTTGCCCTCAACATCGTGTTTTCCTTGGTGCTTTCGAGATTCCTCTCTGCGCTCAAGCCTTTGAGCCGTTTGATCACGACCGTCCGGTTGTGGGTTTCTTTGCGTTCGTCCTGCTTGGCTTTGTTGGCCGCAGAGCGGTTGATGGTTGTCACCCCTCAAGTGAGGTCCGTGGATGTTTCCTGGGCCTGTCTCTGCTCGCTTCCCTCTCCTGCCCTTCTCGGCCCGGCCGCGAGTGTCTGGCGCCCTGGCGTTGTCCTGCAGGCCTCTGAGGCCTGCTCACTCTGCTTCTGTCTTTTTCCTGCCGCTCAGATTGAATAATTTCTGTCGCTTTATTGTCACAATCACCGAGTCTTCTGACGTCTCAGCTCTGCTGCTCTTCCCTTTAGTTCTTGCGACGCGCCTCTGGAGCGTCTGTCCGGCAAGTCCCCCTGCGGCCCACCAGAGTCGCGGCCCACGGGCCGGGTTTCTTCCCGAGGCTCCCCTCCCTGGTCCATTGCACGCCTCGTGTCGTGGGTTTTGGTTGAGAACCGGACGCTTCAGATCAGATGTTCTAGCAAACCCAAATGTTTATTTTTGTCCCCAGTGGGTGGTGGTGGTTTTGTTGTTTTCCAGCAGTCGCCTGGATTTCCAACGTGGGGCCTGTCTGCCCAGCTGTGGGTGGCCATGGTGTCTCTGCTCAGCTTTTGTCCTTATTTTTGCTTTAACCTGGCCTCCTGGAGCCCCTCTGCCTTCGTACGTAGCTGGTGGCAGCTGCCGTGGGGTGGCAGAGGTTGTGCTCAGGCACCTCAAGCCCACGAGGCCTCCACCCTGCCCGGGGCTGTGTGGGGCTCAGTGGCTCCGAGTCTGCGTGGCCTACATGGGCCACACCCCATCAGCCGTGGGCGTGAGGAGGGCGTGTGTGTGTCACCTCTGGAATCCCCGGCCAGCAGAGGACGGACCGTTTTCTCCGTGGTTTTTCCCAGCCCCAGGTCAGACGTGCCCCCAGTGGCAGGGTCTCCGCTCTTGTCTCTGGTCTTTCACGAATAAACATTTCCAGTTTGCTGTTTGCCTTCGGTTGCCCTGAGTGGCTGTTCTGGAAGAACTGTTCTGTCTTTGTGCTTTGCTGGAGGGGAGTCGGCAGGCCTCCTCACACCGACGCCGGGAGCGCAGGGCTCCGCCTGCACGTCCAGGAGTGGCGGGGCCGGCTCTGCACGGCGGCCTGTCCTCAGCCGCAGAGGCGGAAGGGAAAGCAGGTTCCAGCAGGTGTGGCCCTCGGCCCTGGCGCCCCGCTCCGCTGAAGACTTTCTAGGGGGTCTGGGGTGCACAGCTCAGCCACCCGCTGGCCCCCGGCAACTCCGAGCAGAGCTGAGGCAAAGACACCCCAGGGCGGGAGGAGGGAGCTTGGCGCCAGCCTCTCTCGGACCCGGCCCCTCAAGCCCGCCCGCCCCCGCCCATGTCTCCGCAGTTCGTGCTGAAGCACGCGGCCTTCGCCCACCTGCGGGAAGTGGAGCCCTTCCCCAACACCCTGAACCCCCACGAGGCGGAGTCCCTGGCGCTGGTGGGCGCCATGATCGACCAGATCCTGCAGCAGCACCCGGGCGCCCAGCGGCTCCACATCGGCTGTGACGAGGTGGGTGCCCTCGTCCCCAAATCCTGCCACAGCCCCCTTCCCTTGGCCACCAGGCCACCTTCTCCCGTGTCTCAGTTTCTCTTTTTAAGTAGAAAATAGCCCAAGTGCCAAAGCATGCAGACTCGGCTTGTCGAGGAGACAGTCCCTGCCCGGGAGCCCGTTCTAGCACCTTCTCCGGGAGGACGGGGCCTGGCACAGGGCAAACCGGCTCAGCCCGGGGAAGCCCCAAGTGTCCGCCGAGCCTGCCCGGGGGTGGCCGTGTGGCCCCGGCAGTGCAGAGCCAGCCCTGCTGGGGCAGGTTCATGCCCTTGTCCCGGGTAGTCTCGGGATGTCACTGTCCCACAGAAAAAGACGCACACCCCGAGAGGAGAGAAAAAGTGGACACAACACTCGACACCCAGACCCCCCGCGGAAAAGGGGCCCCGGGTGCCTGGTGATGCACCCCCTGCCCCTAGAGGCCCCGCCCCGGCCCCAGCTGCTCCACTCACGTGACTCCGCTCCAGGCTGTGCCCACGGAGGCCTCGGCTGGGAACAGCTGGGCTGGGACTGTGGTCCGCAAACATCTCAGCCCAGAGGTGTCCTTTGTGAAGGACGTCTGTGTGTGGTGAGATGCACAGAGCGTGACAGTCACGCTGTGTGCACTGTGACGCACGGACTCCAGCACTTTGCGGTACGTTCACAGGGTCCCGCGCTGTCCCCGCTGCGCCCCTGCAGCTCCCCTGGCAGGAACCCCATATCCCCGCCCGCCAGCCCTCTGTGCGTGGGCTCGCACAGCGTGCTGCCTACGGGGCTGGCTTTTTTTCCCGTGAGGGTTTCAGGGTCCTCCGCGTCGTAGCCTGTGTGGGGACGTCACTCCCTCTTCAGGCTGAACGATAGTCACTTTGCACGGGGGCCCTTGCATGTCCACTCGTCAGTCGGTGGACCCAGGTTCCGGGTCCCGCCTTTTGCCGGCCGTGAGCAGAGCTGCATGCAGGTTTAGGTCCTGGCAAAGGGGCTCCGAGCCCCTCCCTTGGCCTGCCCCCCACACGCAGCTGCCAAGACTTGGGACGAGGCGTAAGCCCGGCACCTCGGCGTGTGCAGGGGTGCGGGCAGTGGGTGCGGAGCGAGCCCGGCCCTTCCTCCCTGCAGGTGTATTACCTGGGTGAGGGGGAAGCCTCCCGACAGTGGCTGCAGCAGGAGCAGAACAGCAAGGCCAAGCTGTGCCTGTCCCACATACGGGCGGTGGCCAGCCACGTGTTGGCCCGGCACCCGAACGTGACACCCCTGGCGTGGGACGACATGCTGCGGGACATGCCCGAGGACCAGCTCACAGGTCTGCCGCGCCTGGCTGCCCCGAGACCCCCGACCCCTGAGACAAAACACACTGTAGGAAACGGGCCCTGACGGAGCCGGCTCTGCTCAGACCACGTCACATGTTCTCTTGTGAAAATGCCACTGAGCCGTCGCCCTGGGAGTCGTGTGGGTCTGGGGAGAGTGGCAGGTGTGGGCTGCAGAGTAGCCATGGGCCTGCGGGGGCTGGGGGGCCTGGGAGTGTCCTCCGGGCCAGCCCTGCAGGGCCACGGGTGAGGATCCAGGGCAGGCCGTCACTGCTCCCGGGTCCTCGGGGCGCGTGTGTGCCCAGGGCCACGCCATCCTGGCAGCCACCAGCCTCACGTGGCTACTTAGGTTAATCGGGATTAATGAGAACTGACCCCATCGAGCAGCAAGCTCGGGAGCACTGGGCGTGTGGCAGAGAGGGGGCAGGTGGGACGGTCCCGCCCACAGAGCCGCGGGGCCGGCATTCCTCACCCAGGCAGGCGGGAAAAGGTGCCGCATGTGGCTGTGGTTTTCGTCACCAAACGCACAGCACAGTGCTGAGTGTCCCCTCGAAACCGTGGGTCATGCTCCCGTTTTACTGCGAAGCGCGTGCGTGCGAGGGGCCGGGATGTGGTCTGGACGGTCTCCCCGTCGCCCGCAGCGTCAGGGGTGCCGCAGCTGGTGGAGCCGGTGCTCTGGGACTACGCGGCCGACCTGGACGTGCCTGGCAAGGGTCAGTGCCCGGTTGCAGGGGACGCCCTGGGCGTGTGGCTGTGTGTGGGCAGGGCCCCTGTCCCCGCGACCCTGCAGCCCCAACTGCCCAGTGCCCCCACAGACCCTCCCTGGGGAGCCCGGCGGCCTCCTGCTCCCGCTGTGCGGGGCATCTCCCCGACGGGCAGGTGAAGTGGGGGCTCCCCCTGGAGTCTCCTCCAGCCCTGCAGTCACTGGCCTCCTGCAGTCGGGTCTGGATGGGGGCGTGGCCCAGGGGCATGGCCGGGCCCTGCTCGGGGCCAGGCCAGCTCACATGCCTGCCTCCCCACCCAGTGCTGCTCATGCAGAAGTACCGTGAGTGCGGCTTCCGGCAGCTGTGGGCGGCCAGCGCCTTCAAGGGTGCCTCGGGGCCCAGCCAGGCCCTGACCCCGGTGGAGCACCACCTCAGGAACCACGAGCGCTGGCTGCAGGTGGCGGCCAGCACGCCGGCGGGCTCGCTGCGGGGCATCGTCCTCACCGGCTGGCAGAGGTGAGCTCTTGGGCCAGCCGTCAGGGGGCAGAGGTGGCTCGGGGAGTGAGCAGCCACTGGGAGTTGACCCCTCCCACCTGTGGCCCCTGTGCACAGAGTCACAAGCACGTGGCCCTGGCCTGTGTGCTCCACACGGGAGCCTGTTTGGGCCTCATGGACGGCCAAGCAGGAGGGATTTGGTGGGTGGGGGGAGGCCAGGTGGGCAGGTCGGGCCAGCTCACAGCCCACCATGTGCCCAGAGGCAGCAGCCGGCGCTGCAGAAGCATCTAGGGGCCCCCAGTGTCCGGCCCTGGGGGGCAGGCACCTCGGTCTGGATTGAACCAGGCTGCCCCAGGCAGGGCAGAGCCACCCTCGGGGCAGGACAGACGGCGGGCCTCCCCGGGCCCTGATGTCAGGCACCGGTGAGCCTTCACCTGCTCATACCTGAGGGCCCAGAGACACTATACGGGGCGAAGGGACCGATGACGAGGACGCCCCAGGTCAGAGTGCCGCCGGCAGCAGGGCTGAGCACCCCCACCGCCCTCCATGGACGCAGGCATGACCACTTCTCTGTGCTGTGCGAGCTGCTTCCCGTGGGGGTCCCGTCGCTGGCAGCCTGTCTGCAGTTGCTCCTACACGGTACGTCTGTCCAGCCCACGGCCCTGCTGAGCCCTCCCAGAAAGACTGGGGGAGACGGGGAGGGCGGGAGCCGACCACTCGGGCAGAGACACCCATCCGTCCCTGCTGGAGACGTGCGGATGTTCTCGGCGTCTGCTTCCGCGCTCCCTGGGTTTAAGAAGGGACCTTCCCCTCCTGCCGTCCTGGGGTCGGCCCTTTCTGTTGTTCCTTCTGGCCTTCACAGAAGAACAGGGTTAGCCTTTTGCGGCAGGTGTTCCTCTCGCACACTGGCGTGGCCGTCTGTCCACGTCAGCGCCTGCAGCAGCCCCGGACGCGGTGCAGGTGGCTGCACCCAGCGGGAAGGGCCACGTGCCGCCCGGGTGTTGGTGCTGCCGCAGCACATGCTTGTTTCTGTTTTGTGGCTTTCAAAGCAACAGGCATGTCCCGCGTGTTCGGTGAGGCGGCAGGGCTCATGGGCCCCTGCTCCCCTCCAGAGCCCCCCACCGCTTCCCGCTGTGCTCGATTGCAGGAGGATTCACCGAAGATGTCAAGCTGAGAGTGGAGAACATTCTCGAGGGTTCAAGCGTGGAGACAACCGATCCTGCAAGGTAAGCCCCCACCCCTCCCAGCCCTGCCCCGTTTGTGGGGCAGCTGTTCTCAGTGTGGTTCTCCACAGTGAGGGGGCCAGCTCCTTCCCCGGCAGCGACATCCTCGGCCTCGTCACGCACTTCAGCCTGCACCTGCGCAGCTCTGTGGACGCACTGCTGGAGAGGAACAGGTGGGTGGTGGGCACGCCCCACGACCCCCGGCTCAGGGGAGTGGCCTGAGCAAAGACTTTCTGGGCAGAAGAGACCTTTAGAAATGTCTGCCAGATTCTGAATGGTTTTTCCAGAGGTATCACTGTAAAACCACCCCGGGACTAGCCACTGTCGGCCGAGCGCTGCCCGGCCCGCAGGTGCACCAGCCTGGGGTCTACACGGTGGGGGCCCCTGAGGGCCGGCCTGTTGGGCACACCTGCCTGTGCGTCTGCCCAGGTACGTGACCGGCTGGTTTAGCGCCTACCACCGCAGTCGGAAGCTCATCCACCCCGTCATGGTGCAGCACATCCGGCCCGAGGCGCTCAGGTAACCCCGGCAGCCCGTCCCCCACCGTGGTGGCACCGCTGTTGTGCTGGGCTTTGAACCGAGACAGGCTTTCTGGGAGTTGCAGCCGTAGGTCATTCCCTTCATTGCTGGAGAGGACCCACCGGCGCTTGCTGATGCTTCCCTGAACCTTAGAGCAAGGTGCTGGGTCTTAGGTGCCCGGGCAGGTGTGGGGCTCCTCCCTGGACTCAGACCACATGGGCTGGGCCCCTGCATCCGCCCCCCGAGACAGGCAGACTGGCCCCCAGGGAGTACAGATGCTGCCAGCTGCCCCAGGTTCATAGGCCAGTACAGAAAACCTGCCAGCTCACTGCAAAGTACATTCCAGTCTCAGATGCCCAACTGTGACAAATTTGCTCACCTCTTCGTCCCACAACCTAGGGGCCACTAGTCCCACTTTACAGATGGGTAAACCGAGGCACAGAGCAGCACTGGCCCATGGGGCTGAGGACTTGAGTGCAGAGTGCTTAGATGTGAGTAGTCCCCGGGGACCCCCCGGGTGTGCTCATGGCGGCCGTCCTCCCCCCCAGCCTGCTGGCGCAGTGGAGCTCCCTCCTGCAGCGGCTGGAGGCTGCCCTGCAGCTGGCCTTCTACCCCGACGCGGTGGAGGAGTGGCTGGAGGAGAACGTGCACCCCAGCCTGGGGCGGCTGCAGGCTCTGCTGCAGGACCTGAGTGAGGCGGTGGCTCCGCAGCCCCCACCCAGAGGCTCCAGCTGGGACGCCAGTCAGGAGTCCTGAGGGGCGTGGCCCATGCATGGCCGAGCAGCTGTCCAGCGGCCCTCCTGCAGCTGCTCCCTCCCAGCCAGGACGCCCCTCCAACGGGATGAAACTACTGAAGGAAAAAGCACATGGGACCTGTTTTATGATCTGCACATAGAACTTCCTTCTTTTGAAATAAAAAGAAGAGTGGAAGACAGAGGTCACGCTAACAGAAAGCTGGAACAGGCAGGGTGGTGCATGCACCAGGAATCCCAGCACTCTGGGAGGCCGAGTGGGGAGGACGCTTGAGCCCAGGAGTTGGAGGCTGCGGTGAACTGCAGTGACACCACTGCACTCTACCCCTGGCCACAGAGGGAGTCTGTCTTAAAAAAAAAAAAAACAGGCTGGGAGCAGTGGCTCACGCTTGTAATCCTAGCACTCTGGGAGGCCGAGGTGGGTGGACTGTTTGAGCTCAGAAGTTCGAGACCAGCCTGAGCAAGAGCAAGACCTCGCCTCTACTAAAAATAGAAAGAAAATAGCTGGACAACTAAAAAAATATAGAAAAATTAGCCATGGTGGCATATGCCTGTAGTCCCAGCTACTTGGGAGGCTGAGGCAGGAGGATCGCTTGAGCCCAGGAGTTTGTTTGAGGTTGCTGTGAGCTAGGCTGACGCCACGGCACTCACTCTAGTCTGGGCGACAGAGTGAGACTCTTGTCTTGAAAAAAAAAAAAACAGGTTTTCCATCTCCTGCCGTGCCGGTGGTTTCAGTTCAGCCAGGCTCCTGTGGCAGAGAGGGCACCTGGCCCAGGGCAGCTTCTTCCCCTCACCTAAAGCATGTCCTCCCAACCCACAGGGTGAACAGACCAGAAAGCAGTTACTGCATTTCACACTTGCAGGAAGAGAAGCTGAACTGGCATGTGTACAACCACGTCCCCAACTGGGGGCTGTGGCCCCTGCCGGGGAAGGTGCTACCATGTCTTGCTCTCTCTGAGGTGGCCTGACTCGGGGCAGAGGCGTCACCGCCTGTGTGTGGCACAGGCACAAAAGCCCCGAAGCTGCCCTGCGCCGTCTCCAGCACCGGCCGGCCCTTCTGTGCCGGGCAGCCTCATGGGGGCTGGCCAGGGAGTGGGAGTCCTCCGGCCGTGGGCCTGGGACCAGCTGTGCGTGCTTAGCGCAGGCTGCGCCTTGGAGCCCGGCCCCAACCCCCCCGCCAGGTCTTCCCCAGGTTTGAGACAGGCTGGACGTCTTTCTGCAGAGGGCCACCCAGTGTTTAGGTGCTTCAGGGTATTAGAAGAGTTTTTCTTCACTGGCAGCTTCTGCCCAGGCTGACGGTGGGGAGTGGAGGGCCCCTCTGCAGAGACGGCCTGGGCAGGGCAGTCGGCTCGGAGGGCCCTGGTGTCACCGAGGGGGAGGCGGGATCCCCAGTGGCTGCAGGACAGGTGGATGGGGGTCCTGGGCATTGGCCTGTGCCCCAGCAGCGGTGGCATCCGTGGGGCCTGGCCCCAAACCACACACTTGGAAGGCTTGCTGCGGCCTGTGGGCTGAATCCCGTAGGAATCTAGGCCGGCGAAACCTCAGGCTTCAGGGAAGGCCAGGCTCAGCCCTGCGCTGCGGAAAGCGACCTTTTTCAGAGGCTGCGGGGTCTGTCCAGACCAGGCCATGCCACCTGTCACCCTCACACCCAAACTGCCCCGGCTGAAGCCAGTGTTTGACCCTGGGGGAGCCCGAGGCCCAGGCCCTCCCCTGGACACAGCACCCCACCCGGCCCTTCCTGGCCTCCGAGAGGGTCCAGCCCAGGGTTTAGCAGAGAGCAGAAGCCGTGGCTTGTAGGGGCGGGAGGCAGGCCCGGCTGGAGGCGCCGTCAGAGCCAGGGCCAGGGGACTCTCCGTGAGCGGCTCATCTGCAGCCACGCCTGCGCCGTCAGCTCTGGTTCCCGGGGTCGCTGGCCTCGCTGTCGCTGCTCTGAGACAGCTCTGCCGGGCTCTCCAGGCGGTGCAGCTCCAGGAAGTTGGTGATGAGCTTGGCAACGGCTTCCACATCACTGCGCAAGGCCGGAGTGGGGGTGGGGAGGGGCAGGTCACCTTGGGTCACAGCAGCACCAGCCCCAAGCAGCCGGCGAGACTCCATGCCGGCATTGTCCCCACCACCCACCTGCAGCAGCCCCCGGGGCTCCAACCCAGACCCAGCACTGTCCCGGTCCCGCCCTCCCCAGACCCCTGCCCGATCCTATCCCAGCTGGCACCACCGCCCCGAGCCGGGTACCGTGTCAGGTGGATCGCAAGCCCACGGGACTCACCTGCGGCGGCCCATGACGGCGCTCTGGGTGAGCGGGTGGGAGAAGCCCGTGGCGAACCTCAGCACCACCGAGTAGCCCCGCCCGAAGTACCGGACCTTCTCCTCCTCCACGTTCACGTCCCGGATGTCGCTCAGCAGGACCACCACTGCGGGACACAGGTCAGCGGCCGTCGGCCCCCCGAACTTGTGCTGGGGCCGCTGGCTCTGCTGGGATGCGCCATGTTTGCGCTGGCACAACTGTCTGTTGTTTCCCGTCCGAGGCTGGGCCCCGGGGATGGCCATGACCCTGACCGCAGTGTGAGGTCACCTGGGTGAGGATGTGCTCGGCGGCCCCACTGTGGCTGCGTCACCGCGCACGCTTGCTCCTGAGCTCTGACACGCCGGGGACCCGCTGAGCACAGGGCTGGCCGACTTGGTTTCATTTCCCCCCAGGCTGAAAAAATGCCTTCCTGGCCCCCAGCTTGGTGACCGGCCCCTGGCCACTTCCTGTGGCCGTTCAGGTGCCGGGCAGCTGGTGGCTGCCAGAGAACCCACTGGGCGTCACCACTGTCAGCCTGCCAGGAAGCGCGCTAACCTGGCGCTAAGTCTGAGACCACTGAGCAACTCTGTCCCACCGCAGGGCTGTGCTCTGGCTGGCTGTCCCCCGGTGGCCCCTCACGAGACACCCCCACCCCGTTAGAAGCCCACCCAAGGGCCTCTCTGCACCTGCACCCACTACCCACCAGGGTGGGAGCAGATGCCCCGTAGCAGCATCTCCGGAAAGTCTGCTGACCACGGTGGACCGGAGACTCCGGCAGGGGCCTCCCCTGACCCTGGCCGCGCACCGCAGGCCCCGAGGAGCCCACGGCAGCAGGGCAGGTCTGGGAGGAGGGTGGCCCCGCCCCAGAGCTGCGCTGGCCGCCATGACTCTGCCTTCCTGGCTGCACTCCGGACCCCAGGAGGGGTGGGGATGGGGGGAGAGAACACCATCCAAACAGTCCACCCCAAGCCAGACCCTGCTCCTCCCACCCTCCCAGGTCAAAGCTCGGTAGAGCCCAGGAGTCTGCAGCACCGGGCAGGCCAGGCGCGTCTGTGGGACCCCACATCCCACATGCAGGACACAGCACCTAGTGGGCGAACTTGGACCCGAGGCGCTGCCAGGCCTCCCTGGGCCTCGTGGTCGCCCGCCGCACCCAGCCTGAGCCTCGGAACTGCCCGCCTCACCTTGGTCGTGGCCTGCTCTGAACAGAGTCAGCAGCTTCTTGTAGAGGCTGAACGTCTTCAGGACGACCTTCCCCGTGCTCTTGTTGAAGACGGCTTCCTGGAAACCAACACACGCTGACCATACGCGGACCGAGGGGCGGGGGCGGAGTGGACGCCGGGGTGTTGCCACGCGGGTGCCAGAGAAGGGGCCCTCCCAGTCGGAACCAGGCCCTGGAGCCTGCGTGGGGCTCCGCTGGGGCTGACGCCCGCAGTGACCCGAGACTCTCGTGGACACCGCAGGGGCTCGTCCCACTGCAGCCACCCCCCAGTGCAGGACTCGGCCCAGCCGCCCAGTAAGACGACAGAGGGCAGAAAGTCTCATGGGGGCACGGGGACTGGGGCGGGGCCTGCAGACACAACCCCTCTGCACCCAGCAGCTCCAGGAACGAAGAATTCTGGTGAAAAACAGTCATCAGAAGCTTCTAGGAGAAAAACACCTTCACCAGATGCCTTGGCCCAAGAATGGTCACAGGCAGTGTCCAGGGGCCAAGTTCCACTAAGCGGAAACCGTGAGGCTAGGACTGTTTCAGAGTACGGAGGAGGCCTTGAGCTGCCTGGAGCCCTCCTCCTGCTTCCATCCATCCCTGCACGGAGACCCAGGAGCGCCTTCCCCCTTGCCGCTGCCCCCACCCGCACCAGCCTCACCTCCCAGTCCTCCAGGTTCTGCACAGCCACGAACAGACAGCCGGCGACGTAGAACAGCTTCCAGCCCAGACTATCTGGACAAACACAGGGCGCCAGGCGTGAGCACAGCAGGGGCCCAGGCGACGGGTCCACGAGGGGCCCCTGGGCAGCCGCCTGTGCCGCTGGCCCTGCCTTGGTCCCTCAGGACCCACACGGGACATGCCCCGTCCAGCTCTGCCCCAGGAGCCCACCTGAAGCAGGCAGGGGTGCACTCAGCCTCTGCCCGTCTCAGCAGGACGGGATGGTGGGAAGCATGGTACACACCTGCAACAGGATCTCAGGCCTACGCTAAGGAGCATCTTTTGAGGAATATTTTACGACATTTGAAAACGCCTGAGACGTAGGAAGTGACATGCAGGCTGGGTGGGAAGGTGCGTTCGGAAGAGCACACTTGCAGGAGGAGATGGTGCCCTGAGCACCAATGGTCTTAGGGTAGAAGTGCCAGAGACCCTAAAGGTCATGCCAGGACCCATCACAAAGGGCGGTTTTTGCAAACAGCTGAGAAGGTTGGTGGGGGTTTTTACCTCCACTGTAGTAGGCAGCGGCCAGGCCGATGGACAAGATTCCTGCAGAGAGAAAGAAAGTCCTTCCCATGAGTCCTCCCCGGTGCAGTGGGCTCCTGAGAGCTGCAGCCCCTTCCCACTGCAGGGATGGCTGGGGACTAGGGCTCAGGGTAGAGACCACCAGGTTCAGAGTCGGGGAAACAGCCAAACAGCTGGTTCAAAAACACAGCATAGGCCGGGCACGGTGGCTCACGCCTGTAATCTTAGCACTCTGGGAGGCCAAGGTGGGTGGATTGCTCGAGGTCAGGAGTTTGAAACCAGCCTGAGCCTGAGCAAGACCCCGTCTCTACTATAAATAGAAAGAAATTAATTGGCCAACTAATATATATATATAGAAAAAATTAGCCGGGCATGGTGGCGCATGCCTGTAGTCCCAGCTACTTGGGAGGCTGAGGCAGGAGGATTGCCTGAGCCCAGGAGACTGAGGTTGCTGTGAGCTAGGCTGACGCCACGGCACTCACTCTAGCCTGGGCAACAAAAGCGAGACTCTGTCTCAAAAAAAAAAACACAGCATAGTCAGGCACAGCAACTACTCAGGGAGGCTGACGTGGAAGGATAGATCGCTTGAGCCGAGGAGTTCAAGTCCAGCCTGAGCAATGCTGCAAGACCCCATCTCTCTCTCTCACACACACAGTATACCATAACTCACAGTACTCACTGGATACATTGCCACGTGAGGCTTTAGAGCTCCCCGGGGAGTCAGGAAGGAGCCTGTCATGGTGATGCCAGGGCAGCACATTGTGAGGAATGGAAACAAGACTGTACAGGAGACTCATGGCACAGCACACAAAGCAAAACATGCAGGAAGCCACACGCATGTCGGGGGAACGATGGGTCACAGAGATGCAGCTGCTGAAGGTACGGCCAGCACCTCTGCTCACACAGCGACCAGCCCAGGAGACACAAGTGCAGCTGCCCCGAGGGCTCAGGACCCTCCAGATGGGCAGGGATGGGACAGAGGAGAAAAAAGAGGGGCAAGACCCCGGGGCCCAACATAGGGGTCAAAGCAAGTACAAAGGAAAATACGGTGACTCAGAAAAGCCACCCAACTAACTCACCCAAAATGTTAGTGAAAGGATGTTAGTGACAAAAAAAGACAAACTAGACATGCATTATCTGTAAAACCATGCATATAGGATACAATCTAAATGGATACAAAGAAACAGAACAATTGCTTTATTTCAGGGTAATAGTACAAAAGAGGAAACACCCCATTTCATTTTCATCCTTTTTTGTAGTTAGGCTTTCCAGTGTTGTTGTTTTGTTTTGTTTTTTTTATTTTGGAGATGGGGTCTCACTCTGTCGCCCAGAGTGGAGTACAGTGGCCTCACCATAGCCCACTGCAGCCTTAGACTCCTGGGCTCAATCAGTCCTCCTGCCTCAGCCTCCTGAGTAGCTGGACTACAGGCGTGTGGCACCAGGCCACGCTTTCTGTTTGAAGGACAAATGTGGATGGGAAGCCTTACCAACCAGCAGGGACCAGGACCGGATGCCAGGAGCCCTCTTCAGATGGAGGCGGGAGCTGGTGCGCATTTCCACCTGCATGTACATCCCTGGAACGTGCAGGTACCGCTCTCCACTGGAGCTGAGGTCTGGGGAAGAACAGACACAGACAGCTGGATGCCTCGAGGCACTGCACACAGGCAAGCGCCCACCTCATCAGGTGTAGACAGGAGGCCAGGTCAGACCCACCAGCAAAGGGGCCTGCAGCCTGCCCAACTTGGCCTCTGCAGTCAGGCGAGTCACTCAATCCCCAAGGACTCCACTTCCTCTGTGCAGAAGGCCCTCTTCTTTCTGCTCGCAATTACACTGACTGCACTGGGGCTGCTTCCCCCACCAAGACTTGAGAAGCGTCAACCTGATCACCATGGGCCCCATATCTGGAAACAAAGCTTCAAAGAGCCGTTAGGCCCCAGCAGCCCTGAAGCTTCCGGCACCCTCCCTGAATCTCAACTCTCCCCTGAGCTGGCCTCCACCAAGAAGGGGAACTGAAAGTCTTGTCGTGGCCTGAGTCCACCCTGGCAGGACTGGGAAAGCCACCTTTGTCTCCACTGTCCTCCCCCTGCTGAAACTCCAGACTACTCAGGAGAGGGTCCCAAGGCACCGCTGCAATCAGCGAGTCACCAAAGGCTACTCTTTACCAGCGCTCTGCCAGGGCTACAGCAGCCCCACACGCTGTCAATGAGCTCAAAACACTGCCTCCCACCCAGTTCGGGGAAGTTTCTCGGATACTTCCCTGCAGAGTCAAATCAAATTCCTCACATTAAATAGTGGACGCAAGTCACACAAACGAATCCTAAATCACCTCTCTCTCGACCTCAGTTACCGACAAGGCTCCAAAAACGTCCCTGTCCCCCTCAACACGCGTGCACACACATACACGCGTGCACCGACGTGCATGCACATACACACGCGTGCACAGACGTGCATGCACAAATGCGCGCATGCACACATACACACGCGTGCACAGACGCGCAAGCACACATATACTAGCGTGTACACATATGCGCGCGCACCGACCACTCGCCTCTGCCCGGGCCGGGGGACCCCCGCTGCGACGGGCCCGACACCGAGGCCCGTGGGCGCTGCCGGCCTCACGACAGCCCGGGCGAAGACGGGCCTCAGCGGCGGCGCCCAGCCTGCGGCCGACGCCCGGCTCCCCGCGGCTGCACCCACTGCGCGCGGTCACAGCGACGTGACTGCAGGCCACGGGCGGCCGGCGGCCGAGCGTCGCGGGAGGGAAGCGCGGAGCCCGCCCCGCCCCCGCCTACCGAGCGACGACCCCGCGCGGAAGCCGAGGGACACGAACCGGCGGACACGGGGCGGCGCGGCCTTCCGGGACCGGGACGGGACGGACTTCCGGGTTAGAGGAGGACTTCCGGGGGCGTGGCGGGACTGGCGTCCGGGGCGGGGCTAACACCGGAGCTGTCCATATTAATGACTTGTCCTTCGCCGGGGTGGAGAGCCCTGGGTCGCGGAGACGCGGGAAACTCGCCTCTGGACTCCCGAGAGACACGGAGCGCCGCGGAGTAATCTAACAAAAGATACACAGCAGCTTCGTGGTAAAAATTGTAAGTTTGGGGGGTTTTTTTGAGACAGAGCCTCACTCTGGCCCCGGCCGGAGCTCAGCGGTGCGTCCACAGCTGCTGCAGCCTCGAACTCCTGGGCTCCAGGATCCTCCCGCCTTGGCCTCGCGGGTAGAACCCCCGCGCCCCGCGCCCGGCCCATTGTCAGTGTGAGACCACGTCAGTGAGACGTGAGAAAATGCAGATGAATAGTTATGTAGATGCTACTGGGAACCAGGAGTTTCAGCAGGGGAGAAAGGACTGTCAATGGAAAAGAGCCCAAATTCCGTAAAATAATTTTCAGTGGTTTATTGTCAGCCAGGGCCAAGAAGCCCTGGGCAAGTGGTCTCACTGTGGTCTGGTTATAATTTGGTTTTATACATTTCAGGTAAACAGGAATTAACAGAAAGTCATAAATTAATACATAGAAGGCATACATTGGTTTGGCCCCAAACAGCAGGACATCTCGAAGCAGGGGCGTACAGGTTATAGGTGGGTTTAACAAAGGTTCTTTGATTTGTAATAGGTTGAAGAAATGAAGCTTTATCTAAAGGCTTAAAATGTTCTACGTTAACGTAAGGAAGCCTGTTAATCAGAGACTAGCCACTGGACATATACCCAGACTCAAGTGGATGTGTTAAGTAAATTGATGAGCTACAGGTGTGGTTTAATCTCTCCCTTACATGGCCTTACGCTTGTTGATGATTTTGCATCTTACTGTTAAAAAGAGTAACTCCAAAAGCGACAGGGCATAACTAGGTGTGTCTGACCGCCCTTCTCCTCATGGCCGGCAATTCAACTTTAAGGTTTTTTGGGGGAGGGGGTTCCCTTGGCCAAGAGGGGGGGTCCATTCAGTTGGCTTGGGGGGGCTTAAGATTTTTAGTTCACAGGAGTCACACATGTAATATCAACAAAGTTAAATAAGAACCCCATGTTCCTGGATTTGAATTAGAAGTACCAGTGTAAATTAACACTGTATTTTGTCTTTTCAATACCACCCTTTATAATTTTTTTTTAAAGCCAGTCAAATTTAGCAGTGAGGGGTTGAATACTAACTTTAGTAACTCTAATATTATTAAGTTCTGATAACCCACTACCCTTTATAAAATTAATAAAAGGTCACAAGTGGGAACTGTGGTAGGGGCCTGAACTCTGCAAAGATATAGGCACAGTTGAAATATATATCTATATATAATACCAGCCATTGTCCCCTAGTTTACTTTCCTATAATTGCTGCTCAGGAGTCACATAGCTGGTGAATCCTCTCAAGGGAATGGAAAAGGAGAGCAAACCAATCCCACACCCAGCTGAAGAAAAGAAATAACTAAGGTCAGAGCAGAGCTAAACAAAATAGATTCCAAAAGACTTATACAGAAGATTAATAAAACAAAAAGTTGGTTCATTGAAAAGATAAAGTCAACAGGCCTCTTACTAGAATAACTAAAACAGAAAATAAAGGACCCTCATAAGGTCAGTCTATATGCAAAAGGAAATATTACAACTGATACCACAGAAATACAAAATATCTCTGAATACTATTAAAGTCTCTATGCACATAAACTTGAAAATGTCAAGAAAATGGACAAATTCTTGGAAACACACAACCTCCCTAGGCTCAATCAGGAAGAAATAGAACTCCTGAAGAGGCTAATATCAAGTAACAAAATTGAGACAATAAAAAAACCTTGTCACAAAAAAAAGTCCCAGACAAGATGGTTTCACAGCTGAATTTTACCAGACATATAAAGAAGAACTGGTACCTATACTGCAGAAATTATTTCATAACATTGAGAAGGAAGGAATTCTCCCCAACTCATCTATGAAGCCAATATCACCTTGATACCAAAGCCAGGAAAGGATACGACAAAAAAGAAAACAACAGACCAATATCCCTTATGAATATAGATGCAAAAATTCTCAATAAAATCCTAGCAAACAGAATTCAGCTGCACATCAAAAAAATAATCCACCACAACCATGTTCATTTCATCCGAGAGACACAAGGATGGTTCAACATACACAAATCTATAAACATGATTCACCACATAAATAGAAGCAAAAACAAAGACCATGATCCTCTCAATAGATGGAGAAAAAGCATTTGAAAAAATTCAACACCCTTCTGTGATAAGAACTCTTAACAAAGTAGGCATAGATGGAACGTACCTCAAAATTACAAAATCCATATATGACAAATCCACAGTCAACATCATACTGAATGGGGAAAAATTGAGAGCATTCCTGCTTAGAACTAGAACCAGATAAGGTTGCCCACTGTCACTAGTTCCATTCAACATAGTGCTGGAAGTGCTAGCCAGCGCACTAGCACTGGGAAGAAAAGGAAATCAAGGGTATCCAAATGGGGAAAGAAGAGGTCAAACTATTGCTCTTTGCTAATGAGATGATGTTACATAGAAAATTCCAAAGATTCTGCCAACAGACTCTTGGAATTGATAAATAAATTCAGCAAAGTCTCAGGTTACAAAATCAATGTAAATAGATCAATACCATTCCTGTACTCCAATAACAATCAAGCCAAGAATCAAATCAAAGACTCAATGCCTTTCACAATAGCAACAAAGAAAATAAAATTCCTAGGAATATATTTAATCAAGGAGGTGAAAGACCCCTACAGAGAGAACTAGGAAACACTGATGTAAGGAATCACACATGACACAAACAAATGGAAAAACATTTCATGCTCATGGATTGGCAGAATCAACATTGGTAAAATGCCCAAAGTGATTTATAGATTCAGTGCAATTCCCATTAAAATACCCATGTCATTTTTCACAGATCTAGAAAAAAATAATTCTATGCTTCATATGGAACCAGAAAAGACCCCATATAGCCAAAACAATCTTAAGCAAAAAGAACAAATCGGGAGGCATCCATTTACCAAACTTCAAGCTATACTATAAGGTTATAATAACCCAAATAGCATGGTACTGACACAAGAACAGAGACATAGACCGATGGATCAGAACAGAGAACCCAGGTATAAAAACGTCCTCATATAGCCATCTAATCTTTGACAATGCAGACAAAAACATACGCTGGGGAAAAGAATCACTACTCAATAAATGGTGTTGGGGAAATTGGATAGCCACATGTAGAAGACTGAAAGAGGGTCTGCACCTCTCACCACTCACAAAAATTAATTCATGATGGATAACAGACTTAAGCCTAAGGCATGAAACTATACGAACTCTAGAAGAAAATGTTGGAAAAACTCATAGACATCAGCCTAGGCAAAGAATTTATGAAGACAACAAAAGCAGTCACAGCAACAACAAAAATAAATAAATGAGACCTGATCAAATCAAAAAGCTTCAACACAGCCAAGGAAGCAATCAATAGAGTGAACTGCCAACTTACAGAATGGGAGAAAATATTTGCATGCTATACATCCAATAAATGGCCAAGAACTAGAATCTACAAAGAAATCAAGCAATTCAGAAAAAAAAAAAATTCAACCCCACTAAAAAGTGGGTAAAAGACATGAAAACAAATTCTTCAAAAGAAGATAGACTAATGACCAACAAACATATGAAAAAATGCTCAACATCTCTAATCATCAGGGGGAAATGCAAATAAAAACCACAATGAGATATCACCTAACTCCTGTTAGAATGGTTTTTATGAAAAATTCCCAAAACAACAAATGCTGGCGTGGATGCAGAGAGGTAGGAACACTTATACACTGTTGGTGGGACTGCAAACTAGTACAACCTCTATGTAAAGTACTGTGGAGATACCTTAAAGAACTAAAAGTAGACCTACCATTTGATCCAGCAGTCCCGCTATTTGGTATTTACCCAAAGGAAAAAAGGACATTTTATAAAAAAGACCCCTGCTCCTGAATGTTTATAGCAGCACAATTCACAATTTCAAAGATGCGGAAACAACCCAAGTGCCCATCAACACATGAGTGGATTAATAAAATGTGGTATATGTACACCATGGAGTACTACTCAGCCATAAAAAATGGTGAGCTTATATTAACCTAGATGGAATTGGAAACCATTCTTCTAAGTGAAGTATCACAAGAATGGGAAAGCAAATACCAAATATACTCACCATAAATTGGAACTAATCTGTCAACACTTATGTGTACATATGGAAATAACACTCATTAGAAATCAAGCAGGTGGGAGGAGGGAGGTGTTGGGTAAATTCACACCTGATGGGTACAATAACTTTGACTCAAACTGTACAAAAGCAATTTATGTAACGAAAACATTTGTACCCCCATAATATTCTGAAATTAAAAAAAAGAAAAAGGTTTCCACATCAATAACAATAATTCAGTGAATTGAAAATCATAAGGTGCTTCTATGTGTAATTCATAATGATATAATTTTAAGTCTTTGTTCAGTTTTGACGAATGGTAACAAACCAAACTCAAGTTTTTTGACTGGTTAATAAAGAGAATTAAGCATTTATCCTGCCTTTCTTTATAAAAATTACAACAGAGTAATCAAATAGTGGGTGAGGGAGTTTTCTCATTATACAAGTATTCTTAATAATAAATGAAGAAGAAATTGTAGGATTAAAATGTCACACTAATCCCCATAATATGCCGAAATAAGAAAAAATAAAAATAAAAATGGAGTAAAAAAAAAATTGTCACACTAATGAACTGGGCTAGGTGGCTCACACCTGTAATCCCAGCAGTTTGGGAGGCTGAGGTGGGAGGACGGCTTGGGCCTAGGAGTTGGAGGCTGTAGTGAACCATGATGTTGCCACTGCACTCCAGCATGGTGACAGAGCAAGACCCTATCTCTTTAAAAAAAAAAAATTACCCCAATGAATTAATGGGCTAATGCAATTACATTAATGTCTACTAATTAGCATTATAAAAATAAGTTAGATATTGGAAGTACTCAACACCATCTATGAAGTAGTTTTGCCAGAAAAAATTTAACCTGAATGTGATCAACCCACCAGAGTGATCTAACAGCCCATTTACTTGAAATTCAGAAGACAAGGATACACTAAAGGATTCCTCAGGGATATGGGTAGAATTGTGCGAAACGCTCCAGGCAAACATAAAGACAAATAGAGATGTGGATGGAAACTACAAACTAAAAAACAAGAAGAAAAACATTAATTCCAGGAACTCTCTCTGGAACTTCTGCATCTCAAGTTATGTAAAAATCAAAAGTTTCTTTTAAAGAGAGACTTAAACATATAAACCAATTGTAATATACACTAATAGGATATATTGGACTTTATTTAGTTCCTGGTTTAAATAAACTGTGCAAAAATTATGGGACAATTGGGGAAATCAGGACCACTAACTGGATATTTGATAAAATTAAGTGATTGTAATTCGCTTTTTTTCAAGCATGATAATAATATTGCGGTTATGTTTTAAAAACATTAACAAGAAGTATATATGAATGACCACCTAAAAATGACCCTTTTATTCATGCTGAACGTTGAAAGACGTTTTCTGAGAGGCGCCGACACGAATTTGCATACTCTAGCGCAGTGGCCCCCGACCTTTTTGGCACCAGAGACCGGTTCCATGGAAGACAATGTTTCCACGGAAGGCGGGGGGCAGCGGAATTGCTCTGTTTGTAAAAAGCTGCATGAAAACTCCATAAATAAAATATTTCAATAGAAAAAAATTAAAAGATTCCGGTGGGCTTTCTAGGAGTGGAATAGCCATAAATATTTCTTTGCCTCCCATGAGCCCCAGAGGCGCGGAGGGCGTTCGCTTTGAGGAGAGCGCAGACGGGTGTGAGCCGGGTCCTTTGTCCCGCCGGCGCGACAGTCCCACGCGCGGTCGTCCTGTCGCGCCGAGCCCCCTCGGTGCCTGCCCACAGTGCGCATGCGCGGACTTGACACCACGCTTAGGCTTCAGAGTCCAACATTTCCGCCGTAGCCTTGCACGTGACATCAGTACGTTTTTAGTAGCTGATATCGATTCCTGAGAGGAACAATAATTATTTTCGCTGTGAGTGGAACCCAGCCAAGCAGCGCGCGCGCGCGACGGCCCGCGAAGTCCGCCCTCGTGCTCTCGCCTCTGAGGGTGCGGTGCCGCCGAGAGCGTCGCGCATGCGCAATGCCGCCTCGCTGGGCCTACGTGACGCTCCACGAGGGGGCAATGGCGGCTTGTGCCTGCCGGGCTCAGCGCCCCAGAACTGCCCCCGCTGGTGCCCGCGGGACAGCCCGCGCGCTCCCCAGCTCCCTCGTTAGTCGCCGCCACCTGGCCCACGCGAAGCGAAACCAGCGCGAGGATACTCCCCGTACCCCAGCTGCGTGGGACTGCAGCGCCGGGTCCGGCCGCGCTCCGCCCCGCGCACTTCGATTGGATCTGGCGCCCGGCTCGCCTCTTTCTGGCGCTCTCATTGGCTTAGACAGAGCTGGTGGGCCGCACCGTCCCCTGCACGCTCCTATTGGCTTAGGGGTGTGGCTTGCTCTATTCCGGCGCTCTTATTGGCCGTTCTCAGCAGTCCGGGGTGGGTCCGCGCCGGGGGCCCGGGGAGGACAACAAAGGGCGGTGGGCGGCGGGCCGCAGCGTCCGCGTCTTCAGGTGGTCTGGTCAGGTCCGGCGCTGGCGTCGCGCCCGCCCGCTCCAGATGAAGTGTGAGCACTGCACGCGGAAGGTGGGAGCCGCGCGCTGCGGGGCGGTCGGGGCCGGGGCCGGGGTCGGCGTCCCCGGGGCGGGAAGCCCCGGGTTCCGGCGGAGGGGCGGGCGGCGCGGGGCAGGGCCGCTCCGGGCGGACCGGGCCGCGCGGCTCGGGCGGCGTCTGGGCTTCGCTCTTCGCACCGCGCCTGTGCCCCTTTCGTGCGCCCTCAAGACGCCTGCGAAACCCGAACGTTTAAAAACACACGGAACGCCTCCGTTACCGGGACGGGCCGTCACAGTGCGCGGGAAACGCCGCTCTGGACGGGAACTGGCCCCGGCACCTTTCCTGCCGGCGGACGGTGGGGGCGAGCGGGACGGGGCGCGGGCGGCCACACGCCGATCCCTAGACGTGGCGGCGCAGCCTTGCAAGGCACGCGTGGGCGCTCGTTATTGCAGAAATTGGGGTATAGTGTAAATACCGGTCTGCAGCTCGCTCGTTTTTACGTAACACTCTACAGGAGACATATTTTCAGAGCATTTCCTACTGTTCTAGTTCCTTCTTTGTAGTAACCGCATCGTATTCTAAGTAGCCCTGTATCCAGGTAAGTCAGACGCCGGTTAACCTGTTGGTGGAAGGCCTGGCTGCTTGTAGTTTTTCGTTTGTGCTAACAGCATTATAGACGTGTGTCTGTGTCCTTAAGTACATATGCTTTTATTTTTGTAGAAAAGGTTTCCAGCCATGTGGTTAATTGGTCAGGGCATGTGCATTTTGTAAATGGAGAGGTATTAAAAGTTATTCTTTAATAATGCTTCCTTGTATTTTTAAGGAATGCATTAAAAAAACAAAAACCGATGACCAAGAGAATGTGTCGGAGGAGGCACCGAGTCCCGCCCAGGATAATGGAGAGGCAAGTAGATGCTTCAGTTTTCTATTCACCTCGAGTAAACTGCCACTGTTGTCTTTTTCCTCTCTGGGGATTCTGGTCACCGTGCATGCTAGCTAGCACTCTAAGGAAGACAGCAGGAAACCCAAAGGGCAGAAGGTCGTGCAGGACTGTCCACTTCCGTCAGAGGCCTGTCTTAGAACAAACTGAGCCAAGGCAGACTGCATTGGGAGCAAAGAAACACAGTGGTAGGATAGTCACACTTTAAGCATTTAGTGGAAAGTTCCATTCTGTGAAATGGGGATTGAGGTAGGTATCTTATATAGTTATTCAAAATTTTATGATTCTCTAAAGTTTATTTTTCTGATTGTTTTTATTCTAATTCAGTTCTTGTTTTTAAGTTCTCCTTAGCTAGTAAGGATGGTTTATGTTTATTGGGTGTGTACTCCGGAGTCTGGCGCTGACGAAAATGCAGTCTCATTTTGTGCTAAGACTGAGCATTTCAGATAAGCCCTACCATTATCCCCATTTTGCCAAGAAAAAGATGTGGTGGGGAAAGGTTAGGGTCATTTTTTCCCTTAGAAAGTACTTACTAGGCCAGGCGCGGTGGCTCACGCCTGTAATCCTAGCACTCTGGGAGGCCGAGGTGGGTGGATTGCTCGAGGTCAGGAGTTCAAAACCAGCCTGAGCAAGAGCGAGACCCCGTCTCTAATATAAATAGAAAGAAATTAATTGGCCAACTAATAGATATAGAAAAAATTAGCCGGGCATGGTGGCGCATGCCTGTGGTCCCAGCTACTTGGGAGGCTGAGGCAGAAGGATCGCTTGAGCCCAGGAGTTTGAGGTTGCTGTGAGCTAGGCTGATGCCACGGCACTGACTCTAGCCTGGGCAACAAAGTGAGACTCTGTCTCAAAAAAAAAAAAGAAAGTACTTGTACCAATTTTATAAGTGGAGAATTGCAAAATATGAGAGGCAGGTAACAGATTTTCTCTTTAAGTTTAGTGGTCCTCATGTGGCATTTGATCTAGCTTCCCCTCTCCCCCCCACCCCGGTGTCACTCGGCTCTGTTGAGACTGTAGGCCTCAAGGAGCAGCAGGGGTGCAGATGAGCACCTGGAGAGCTGGCCACAGGCAGAAGACAGGTGGGGAGCTCGGGAGCCAGCTGGGGCCAGTACTCCAGAGCAGTCAGGTCCACACTTGCCTTCTGGTTGTATCGCCTTGGACAGATACCTAAGCCCTGTGAGCCCCTGTTTCCTTATCAACGACAGGGAGAGGTGACCCCTTCCCTCCCAGGGCTGTGGAGAGGATGAGATAACCAGTGTGCACAACCCAAGCAGGTTCCCCGCTAGGGCGGTAGTTAGGATGACAGGAGGTGGGGAAGGGTGAGTGGAGGGGGCCCTGAAGGGTGGTGGGAGTGTAGGGCTGGGGCACTGGCACACCAGCCACAGGGAAGGTGTGGACAGATGTGATCTGAGGAGGGGCAGTGGCTCTTGGTCAGGTTGATGGCAGTGAAGAGCTGTGGAGGCTGTCTGGGCGTGAGGAAAGACTCAGGTGTGTGCTTTAGGGCAAGTGACAGAGGCAATAGACTTGAGCTGGCTGGAGTAGGGGGAGAATCGAAGGAAGCCACTTGGGAGGCCGCTTTGAGGGCCTGGGTAGAGCGTGACGGCCTGGGTGAGTCAGTCAGGGTGTAGAAGCAGAAAAGCGGGCACGACACAGGTGAGTGTAGTTTTAGCTCCATGGACGCTGAGCCTTCTGTAGGATGTTAGTCTGGAGTTTCGGCGAGGAGAGAGGAAGCACGGGTGGCAGGGAGGGCAGGTGCTGCTCGGGAGTAGTGAGGTTGATGGGCTGGATAAAAGGGAAGAGCGTTTCTGCAGAAAGCGTGAGTTTAGGAGGCAGGAGGAAGCAACATGAGGGACGGAAAGGAGCTGGACCTGGACCCGAGCCAGGAAGGCTTGCAGAAGGACTGGGTTGTGCACAGCATGCCCCATGGTGAGGCTGGAAAGAGGCACTGTTGGGTGAGGTGGTGCGCTGTGGTTGTGGCACCTTGGTAGGGACAGGCTGTGGGGGCCTGTGGAGGCAGAATCTACCCTGTAGCTGCACAGTCTCCAGTAGGCACCACACCCGAGGAGTGGCAGCTCCAACCCCACCTGCTTGTTTGAAATGCAGACTCTTGGGCCTTATGCAGACCTTCTGTGTCCCCATCTGTAACAGAACAAGATGCCAGGGACAACTGGTGCACAGGGACATTGGGTCATGTCTGAGGTTGGGGGAGGCAGAGGTGACAGCCTAAGCTCCTGTTCTGAGTACACTGTGGAAGGGGCACGTCCAGAGCGGTCTCCTGTCAAATCATGTTTTAAAGAAAAACACACTATCTGAGGAAAAAACAGACTACCTGAGGAGTCTTCATAACTTTGTTGAAATGACTCCAGTAAGCTTCAGAATCTTCGTAGTTTCATCCACCAGATGTTTGTTGCACAACTTCCGGGGGCAGTACCTAGAGGGTGCTGGGCAGCAGATGGGAACAGGACAGCGTTCACAGCCTCCTGGTATTTACACCGGGAGGGAGGGCAGAGACAGGTGAGGGATGATCCTTCTTTGGCAGGTATTGAGACGTCTCACCTGAGGGCACTCGAGGGGTGAGCCTGGGGCCCTCTGAGGTGGCAAGAACAGCAAGGACTGGTGTGGCTGCATGTGTGGGAACCAAGGAGGCAGTGAGGGGTGGGAGCAGAGTGGGGCACTGGCCAGGTCGAGGCCCTCGTGTGAGGGGCTGCCATGTCGAGGGCTCTGAGCAGAGCGAAGATGTGGTTTATGTGTTAGTGGATCTCTGGGGGTGCCAGCCAGTCACCAAGGAGAGAGTGGGGGTTGAAGGCTGGATGGCAAGGATCTATGGTCTCAGTGGCCAGGTGAGCGGAGTCATTCTTTTTGACACAGGTGGGGCAGGGGCAGATTTGAGTATCCACATTTCAGTCTTGGGTGGTTTGAGGATCCTGTTGCATATCCAAGTGGAAACTGGGAGCCAGCAGTGGGCTGTGAAGTTCTGAGCCTCGAGGGAGAGGCCAGGGTTGTGGGGTACCACCTGTGGGGAGTGTGGGGCTGAGTGCTCTGGGAGTGGGGAGCTAGAGAGACAATCAGGGCTGAGTCACAGGCACTGAAGGAGCAGGTGGGGAGGGCCAGGTTCCACTCTTTTTTTTTTTTAAGACAGAGTCTCTCTTTGTTGCCCAGGCTAGAGTGAGTGCCGTGGCATCAGCCTAGCTCACAGCAACCTCAAACTCCTGGGCTCAGGCAATCCTGCTGCCTCAGTCTCCTGAGTAGCTGGGACTACAGGCATGCAACACCATGCCTGGCTAATTTTTTTTTATATATATTAATTGGTCAATTAATTTCTTTCTATTTATAGTAGAGACGGGGTCTCGCTCTTGCTCAGGCTGGTTTCAAACTCCTAACCTTGAGCAATCCGCCCACCTAGACCTCCCAGAGTGCTAGGAGTACAGGCGTGAGCCACTGAGCCTGGCCCAGGTTCCACTCTTGATTGTCATCTGCATGACTCCCTGGTGTCATCATGGGCTGGGTCCCATGTTCCCATTCCTCTGTCACCTGGAGCTGCTTAGAGGCAGATGCTGTCTCCCTCCAGCCCTGGCCCCTGGTATTGTCTCCAGTGTGTAGTGTGAGCTGTGCATTAGTGTCACCTCCCTGTAGAAGCACACTGAAGAGCGTTTGTTGGAGAATCACGCCTGCCATCTTTCTTTTGTAGAAGGGAGAATTCCATAAGTTGGCCGATGCCAAGATATTTCTGAGTGACTGCCTGGCATGTGACAGCTGCCTGACTGCAGAGGAGGGAGTCCAGCTTTCCCAGCAGAATGCCAAGGACTTCTTCCGTGTTCTGAACCTTAATAAGGTATGGCTTCCTTGGCACTTGCTAATTTGGGGGATCTGAACTGGAGGAGGCAGGTAGAGGTCGAGGTGAGGCCCATGTTCCTCCTGGGCGTGGAAGCCTCTGCTCAGACATCAGCAGGACATTTCACCCTTTCACCTGCATCAGGATATCCTGTACGGTAGTTAACCTTCTCCCAAGCTCCTTCAAGAACCAAATTCCTGCAAAGATTCACACTCCCTTGCCAACGCTTGGGCAGTCACTGATCAGGCTCCTAAGGCTTAAGGGGAGGCCTCCACGTGGCGAGGGCAGGTAGCGTGGCCGAGGTCATGTGGGTGGCACAGTGCCCCAGCTGTGGTGCTCTACCTCCAGAGCACGTTTTCAGAGACTAGTGTGTTCTCATGGGCAAGGCGAAGACTCTTCACAAAAGTGTCATCCCAGCCTCCCTCTTCCAGCTTGTCCCTGCAGGCCTTCTGTCTCGGTGAGAAAGGTGGAAGGGGAAGAAAGGAAAAACAAGGCAGGTGAGGCTGAAAAGCACTTTGTTTTCGGCACTCTCCTCGAACCCCTGCAGGAAGCGAGGGCATCGGCTTTGCCCAGGTATCGGTTCCCTGACCCCCTGTGTCAGTAGGTTCCACAGTTGGTGTGGGCACCTCAGGACGTTGGCTGATGGGAACATCACAGCACAGGGAACAGAGCCAGGCGGCCTTCAGTGTTCACCACTCACCTCGTAACGTCCTGGACAGGTTTTCCAGCACCATTTGGGCCGCAGTTTGAGATAGAAATATGTGTCTTTCTGTTGTTAGCCTAATTGTGTCTGGGGGTGCCCTTCCTGGCATGCGGATGCCTGGGAGGCCCGTGAGCAAGCAGCAGGCTGCCGGTTAGGATGGTCTGAACCGGGAGACACCCCCTCCTCCAGCAGCCCTGTCCCAACGCGCTCATCCTCAGCCTTTCAGGGGACAGAATGGCTTTAGCCATTTTACCATGTTGAACAGACTTGAGTCAATGATGATACAGCTTGGTTTCCTCTGGGGCGCTCTGCAGGACTACTAGAGACTTTAAACTCTGTGGCATCGGTAGTTGTTGCCAACGTGCCCCGAAAGTGCCTTTGTCACTTTGTGCTCCCACAGGTGATGCAGGCAGGTAGTTGTGTCTCGCTACCCTGACCATGCTCCACGCCAGATTCACAATTATTTCCCAATCCAGTGGGTAGAAAATGATCTCATGTATGTACATTTTCCTACTTATTAGAGAGCTGGAGGTCTTAGATAATGTTTATTGATAATTTATATTATGTCTTATGCTGCTTGTCCAGTCTACAATTTATGTTTTAGTGTGGTGTGAGATTTGAATGCAGTCCTTTCCAATTGAACAAGCCAGTTGTTCCAGCATCTTCCATTCTTTCTTCATTGATAGATAAAACGGTTTGAAGATGGAAATTATTCACTCCTTAAAAATTTGCCACTAAAGTGTTCTGGGCCTGATGACTTTAGAAGGCATCTCTCTGGACACTATTTTAGAGTGTATTTTTATTATTGTTATTGCGTCTCATTTTCTCCAGTTATTTACATTTATTATAATGTTCTTAAAATTGATAAAATTGTCTTAGATCTAGTCTTGTATCTTTTGAGATGGAGTGTCTGTATTGCCCCACTCGGAGTGCAGGGACTATTCACAGGCATGATCACAGCTCACTGCAGCCCTGAACTCCTGGGCTCATGCAATCCTCCTGCTGCCTCAGCCTCCTGAGTAGCTGGGACTACAGGTGCCACCATCATGCCTGGCTCATGTCTCATGTTTTAATCCTGATTTTTTTCTCCTTTTTCCTTTATTATGTTTGCTAGTGTTTGTCTAGTTCATCAGTCTCTGATAGAACATCTATTACGTTGTTCTGAATTTCTCAATAAGGTATCTAACTCATACTCCATGTATAATCAGTGTATATATCATTATTCTGTTTTTCCTTCTAGAAATGTGATACCTCAAAGCACAAAGTGCTGGTAGTGTCTGTGTGTCCTCAGTCTTTGCCTTATTTTGCTGCTAAATTCAATCTCAGTGTAACTGATGCATCCAGAAGGCTCTGTGGCTTCCTCAAAAGTCTTGGTAAGTTGCCTTTTGATAAATTGATGGATTTTATAACTTGAGTTTATAAGTGCCTTTTTTATCTCTAAAATTCAATTTTAAGGATTCAGGATAAACTCCCACGAGAATCTCATGGAACATAAAAGGACCTTGTCCCTCATGTCATGAAACCCAGCCTCTGATCAGTGGTAGGCGGATGTCACTTTCCCCTTTGCCATGCATACACAGGTGTGTTGTTACAGCGGGGGCTGACCCCTTGACCCCTTCGGGAGCAGGAAGTGACCACCTGCTGACGTTGTGGACAGGGACACTGCGAGGCTCCCACACTGGCCCAGCAGCCTCCCGGTGGCTCCCACCTCACAGGGGGCATTTACTTGATAGAGAGTTACGTCTGAAATACTTGGCGTTCAGTTTCCCAGGAAGCTTTCTGAAGGACACCGCAGGAAGGGAATGGCTTATGTTCTTGATGTGTGGAATGAAAGGTGATGATTCAAGAATATAATCACAGAACTCAAATGTCAACACTGGAGGCCGGGCGTGGTAGCTCACGACTATAATCCTAGCACTCTGGGCGGCCAAGGCGGGCGAATTGCTCGAGGTCTGGAATTCAAAACCAGCCTGAGCAAGACCCCGTCTCTACTAAAAATAGAAATTAATTGACCAACTATAAAATATATATATACAAAAAATTAGCCAGGCATGGTGGTGCATGCCTGTAGTCCCAGCTACTCAGGAGGCTGAGGCAGTAGGATCACTTGAGCCCAGGAGATTGAGATTGCTGTGAGCTAGGCTGATGCCACAGCACTCCCTCTAGCCTGGGCAACAAAGTGAGACTCTGTCTCAAAAAAAATTAAAATAAATAAAATAAATAAAAACACTGGAATAATGCTGCCTAAAATACTGGTGAAAAATACTACCGTACCTTCTGCTTTGCCATGTTGATACTGTCCCCTAGTTTGGCCAAGATGCCTGTTTGCTCACAGTGGTGTTTTATAGTGGTGCTGTTTGCTCACAGTGGTGTATAGCCCAGGGCACCCTCATAGCATGGCACTCAACACACGCCTTCAGAAAAGGGGAGTGTAAGCGAGTTGCCAAATAAGAGTTTTTATTATTCCACAATGCATTTTTAAAGATGTGAATATGCTGGGAATTACTAATGACACCTGGAATAAGCATCATCAGGGCAGTCTTTGAGTCTGAGAAACAGCGAGTGCCAAGGTTGATTTTATTAATACATCTTTGAGCTCACCTTCAACATAAAATTACACCTACAAAGTGCCCTTCACTTGAGAGTCTCAACACTGCACAGATATTTTTCACAGTCAAAGCCTGATATAACTAACTCTTTTTTAGTTATTGTGTAGATATGGAGTTGCCATCTTCAAGGAGTTTCGACTTGGAAACAAACAGCCATCGTCCTGCTCAAAAACAGTTACTGTGTGATGTAATCAGGAGTGGTGCTAGGCTTTGGGGGAACAAAGATAAGGGACACAATTCTTCTTCCCTCAAGTTTATAGGGGACTTCATTAAGTTGGAAGTCAACATTCCCACCTAGCTTTGCACCTCAAACTTGACCTATTCAAAAAAGCCCAAATCTTTACCTAAGTATATGGTTTCACAAACCAAAACCTCAAATCCCCTGTCTCTCCCCTACCTAACCAGCAAATTCTGTTGTTTCTGATTCAGGCTGTATCTAGAATTAACCCACTTTACCTTCATCCCCATTGGTACCACTGATGCCGAACCCCATCACCCCTCACTGGGACCATTAATGGTTTCCTTGCTTCTACTTTATAACAAAAAATTATGATAAAAGAAATTAAACAAGTGACTTTAAAATCCACAGCTGGTATAAATCTTAAAAGCAGCCAGTTATTTTTAAAATGAAATGTCATACAATTTTAAAGTATTAAGATATGTTTCAATGTGGATTTTTTTTTATTAATATGGAATATTCAGTTATATATCTATAAAAAAAAAAACTACCCCCAAGTAAGGCCTTTCACCAGGAGAAAATATAGCCCTCAACAACTTTGATCTTTGGTAAAATTAATCTTACCTGAGCCGTTTTAAGTTTACAAGCAGGAAGAATGGTTTAACAAGATCCCACTATTAGCTACGACTTAGTTTTTGTTGCAGCACTTTATGCGCAAATCTACCAGGCTCTGGGAAAGTGCTACTCACCAAGAGCACTGTGTGTTTGTGGTCCCAGTTGCTTGGGAGGCTGAGGCAGGAGGATCGCTGGAGCCCAGGAGTTTGAGGTTGCTGTGAGCTAGGCTGATACCACGGCAGTCTAGCCCAGGTGACAGAGTGAGACGCTGTTTTAAAACTATAAAAATAAAAAAAGAAAAAGGAAACACACTGTCCTGAGATTATGCCATTAGTGATAGGAAAGAACCAAGACTGATTTTAGTGTCTCAGGGAGAAATGCCATAGAATCTGTTTTTTAAGTTTGTCTCTTAAACATAAGAAAGCAAAAATGAGTACCAAGGATGAAGTAGATCTAGATTCTAGCAGGGTCTAGAAGTATATCATTATGTGACGAGAAGCTGGTTGTACCCCTCTCTTCCACAGGGGTGCACTACGTATTCGATACGACCATAGCTGTGGATTTTAGTATCCTCGAGAGTCAAAAAGAATTTGTGCGTCGCTATCACCAGCACAGCGAGGAGGCGCACACGCTACCCATGCTGACCTCTGCCTGTCCTGGTGAGCCCCCCAATGGCATCTCCGTTGCCCTGGGCACCAGTCATGGAGGGCCTGCCATTGCTGCCTGGGGTCAGAGGTCAGCGGGTCCATCCCACTCAGCCTCCGTAGACTGAGAGGAAAGACTTCAGCCTGATGCACGGTTTGATATCAGCCAAAGTATTTATTAAATGTGGGTAGTTTGGGGGGACTGGACAGGCAGGTGTTAATTTCTTATTTTTGTTTATCCGTATTTTTCTCAAGTTTTTGAGATAAGCATATTATATGTTAAGAGAAATTTGTTTTCAAATATATGACATTTCAGACATTCAAATAATTATAGACGATAAAATGGCAAACGTAGTTTGCCAGCTTAACTAAAAATTACAGAATAAAAAATTTCTTTACATTGATAACTCAGATTCTATCAGGGAGCCTTTATTAAACCACTCTTTAATCAGTTTTAGGATAACAAGTTGGTGTCTGAGGTTTGAAGTGTGCGGAGGCTGGTGGTTAGGGGCCCCTCCTCCCTGCAGCACATCTCTTGGTGGTTTCTGTGTGTCGGTAGGCGTTTGCTGCACACACACGGGCATGCATATGGGTGATGCCTGTTGAGATTTCGACTGTTCAGATGTGCTTGTCCATTCTGACTGGGGTGCCTGAGCTGCCTCTCATCCTCTGGGAGACCTTCCCTGCCAGGAGTGGCTGCCCCGAGGGGTTACCCAGCGTTACCCAGCTCCACTCCAGAGCAGGTAGTTTGTCTCAGGCTTCTCTCCCCGTACTGTGGTGCTCTCATGTGCGCATGTGTGTGAGTGTGACTACGGGGACAGGGCCTAAAATCGGAGCTGCCAGGTTAGCAGGTTGTATCAGAACACCCTCCACCTGTCCTTGTCAGGCTGTACCCCAGCAGAAGAGAGGAGCTGGCCGTGGCTCCTGCAGGGGTGTGGTCAGCTGATCTCTGTCTTGTGTCCCCCCTGGAAGCCACGGCAGCAGCAATGTCCCAGAAGGGGTGGTGGGAATGAGTGACTCAAAGGAGAGATGCTCAGAGTAGTCCTGAGTACCTGGTGAGTGCAGTGCAGGTTTCAGTGGTTATTGTTACTGTTTAGGGAATAGAAATGTCTTATGCTTTGTTGCTTTGAAAGTTATGCAGTTGTTAGGCTGTGAATTTCCAGTGGGCTATAGAGCCGGGTCAGCACTGGCCACCTGTCCTGTCCTGTCCTGTCCTAGAACTCCGACTCAGCAGGTGGATTCTCGTGCAGCTGGGTTGCTGCCCCTGCTGCTCCTCAGAGCCCATTCTTGCCCCTTGAGCCCCTGTCACCCTGACTCTTACCTTCTTCCCCTTGGTCCTTTTCTCCCGAGTCGGCAGGGATGCTCCTGTCTGCAGCACCTCCCGTCCTCCGGTCCTGTGACCCAGCCTGAGCCACAGGCCGGGTGGAGGAGGTGGTTTGGGGGAGGCCGTCTGCTGCAGATTCTAAAGAAGAAGGGGCCTGGCTTCACCCTGGGGGGGGGGCTGCAAGCGCTCAGAGCCCCCAGCATGTGGCAGGACAGAGCTGACCTCACGAGTCCCTTCTCTCCCCAGGCTGGGTCCGCTACGCGGAGCGGGTGCTGGGCCGCCCTGTCACCCCCCACCTGTGCACTGCCAAGTCCCCCCAGCAGGTCATGGGCTCTTTGGTGAAGGATTATTTCGCCCGACAGCAGGTGAGCGACCTCCTGCAGGGAAGACACAAGCTTCTGGCACGCTGTGCAGGGCCTGGGTGGGGCGAGCGAGGGGCGCCATGGCTGGGGTGAGAATTCTGCCACACACCGGGGGTGGTCACACCCCCAGGTGAGCATGAGGGAAGCTGTGGCCTCAGGACTCATCTGTGGGGCAGTTTCTTACTAGCGTCCAGCTCTGCCTTTCTTCCTTTCGTCATCTCTTCCTTTCTCCTTAACCTTTCTGTGGCATCTGGGGGTTCTGGACAGAGTGTGGGCCGGGGAGAAAGGCTGCTCACCCTGCTGAGAGGCCCCAGCCTCGCCCGCTGAGGAGCTGCCCGCCTGTTTCTCAGATACCTTGCCAGGGAGGCCATGGGGCTGTTACAGAGGCCGAGGGCCACTGTCACTCAGGAGCCGGCCTGGCCTTGGCCAACCTTTCCCTCGGGCCTCCAGCAGCCCCCAGGGCTCCCAGGACTCCCTGCGCCCTTGAAGGGGCCTCGGCCTGTGGTTGGTCCTCCATCCCTGGCGTGCCGTGCCCCTGCCCTTCCCCATCAGTCTTTAAGCCCTCGGGACTGATGAGTTAGCCGCTGTGGCAAGAGAGGACTGCAGATTCCGGATCCAGCCTGGAGAGGCACACACACTTGGGCGTTGTTATTTCAGCAACAGGGAATGTTTTCTTTCTACTGGTTTGCTCATAAAATCACCACAGTTGGCAAATTACAGACATGATGTCAGGGTGTGTGTCCAGCATAGGTGGGACAAAAACGAGCCGTGGGACTCTGAACCCTCTCCTTGCCCCACACCCACCTGTCGGGGGAAATCCATGTGTCTCCCAGTCTTCTGAGTGGCCCTCTGCTGACTCGAGCCCAAAACCGAGGTCCTGCAGGTGCTGCTGAGGGGCAGCCAAGCCACATAGCCCCAGCTTCCGGCCACGTCTCGCCTGACCACCTGGCAAGGGCTGCGACCAGGGCACGTTTCCTCTTCTCTGCCCCTGCCTGAGTAGGGCCTTTCCACCTGATGGAGAAGGGCCAGGGGCACGCCAGGGGCGGAGGACAAACCTCCACCCCAAGGGTCACTCGGCAGCCACCAGCTCCTGGCTTTGCCGCCAGTTCTGGCTCAGTTGTGGGCAGGTTCGGGAGGGGCAGCTTGGGAAGGTGACACTTGAAGCTTCAGGAAAGTCTGGATAAACCAGGCATCCAGCATGGTTCCATGCTGGCTGGCTTTTACCCGTGTCATCCCTGAGTGCACGTGTGCAGGAGGAAGCAGGCTCAGCTCTCCCTGTTCTTCTAGGGAGGCCACGCAGGCTGCTGGGCCTTGTGGATGGGCCAGACTCAGTCTGGGGCGCGGCAGCAGACCTGTGGGCTGGGTGCTGTGCTTGGTGGAGTTGAGGAGGGACGGGGACCAGCCCTGGCTGCAGCAGGTGACAGTCTCTGTCCCTCGTGCTCTAAATGCCAACTGTAAGCTGCCATGGTCACCTCTCCACCAGCCCTAAATGTAGGATGTCCTTTCTCCGCAGAACCTGTCTCCAGAGAAGATCTTCCATGTCATCGTGGCCCCTTGCTACGACAGGAAGCTGGAGGCCCTTCGAGAAGGCTTTTCCTCTGCCTCACACAGTTCCCGGGGTGCTGATTGTGTGTTAACATCAGGTGAGAGGAGGGTGGGGCATGCCTGCACACTGAGCCAGCTGGTGCCTGTCACTGTGGTCACCGTCTGAAGTCACTGGCCACTCGGCATTCTTGGTGTTTAATTGCATGAAAGTGAAGAGAAGGGTGGTGTTTGGTCCAGCATTCCATCTCCTCTCTGCTTCTCCCTTGGGATAAGTCAGGTCTCCAGGAGAGCCACTCGGGCAGCATGGCCTGTCATGTTACCTTACAGTCCCCGTACCATACTTTCCTCTTGGTAGGGAAAGTCGCATGTAGCCATGGAAGGCCTCCTGCTAACATGTCTCAGGGGTTAGGATGGGGGACTGCGGCAGGTTCTGTGTGTGCTGAGGATAGGAGCTCATGCCCTGAAGTTGTGCAGGGAGCTTAAAGACGTCGTTAAAATTCCACTGGATCTGTTTTAATTAGGCTCTAAAAATGGGTCTCCCTCTAGGTGTTTGGGTCAGTGGTAGGTTAGGCAGAGTGGCTGGCTCTCAGGGGAGGGCTCTAATTCTCTTCGTGGGCCCCCTGGCCTCAAATCCTAGCGTGAGGATGCCCCCAGGAAGGTCTCTGCCCCACAGGCTCCAGTGTGGCCCTTCACTCCCTGAGCAAGGGCTGGGGCCATGTGCTTGGTGAGAACCACACTCGGCCATCTTTTCTGAGTACAGATTTGTACTGGAAAACTCTGTTCCCACATGTGCTAAGAGACTCACTTTTTTTAGCAAGGGTTTTTTCAGGAGCCCTTGGGTGAAAGGAAATGCAGAATTAGTTCTGGTTTGCAGCTGGTATCACTGCAGAATAGCCGAATTTAGTACAGACGCAGCAAGTGTACTTTTTGGTCATCTGATGCATGTGAGCTTGTTATACACAGACATGTCCACTTGGCTCACGCAGCGTGAACAAGAAAAACAGTTTTCCCCTGGAGACACAGTCACGCAGGGTTGGTCGCTACTGCAATCCTCAGTTCAGGGGCAGAAGGAGGGCTAGAATGTTTCATCAGGGTTTTCACTTAATTAGCGCTGCTTTGGCTTGAGCTGGGCTCCTGCTGTGGTGGAGATTTCATAGCAGGGAGGGCACCCGGGTCACTAGTGTCGAATTTCCTGGGGGAGGAAAGTGTAGTGTCCCGGTGGCATGGGCCGTTAGTGGCCTTTGACAGTGCCTCATACCACTTGTTTGCCTGTAGGTGAAGTTGCTCAAATGATGGAGCAAAGTGACCTCTCAGTGCAAGATGCCACCGTTGACACTCTGTAAGTGGCTGCTGTGGGGAGGGTCCACTGGTGGGCAGGGCCACCTCCTGTCCCAGGGCTGTCCTGCTCTATGACAAGGCCACGAAAAGCACCGAGGCGTGGTTCCCCCCACAGCCCTCAGCCACCTTTCTGGCTGTTTCATTGGACATGAGCAGGGCCCTGGAATGCCGGTCTCCGGGGCTGCCAGGTAGTCGGCGCTGGGCGGGCGGAGGAGAAGCACAGACTGCTGTGTTCTCACTGAGGCAGAGCTGCTTGTTTGTGTGCCAGCGCCCTCCCTTTCCCACGTCGCCTGCTCCTCACAGTCTGCGTTGCCTCCGGGGACGTGGAGCAGCTCCCTCAGGTCCCCGTGCACCAAGAGCAGCAGGCTGGCTGCTGCTGCGGGCGGTAACCTGGTGCCCAGCAAGGCCTGTGGCTCTGCCGTGTCCCAGGCGCTGGGCGGAGAGTGCCATGAAGGCCAGTGGTTCGTGTGCTCCCCAAAGCTCCATGATCAAGTTGCTGCATTCGTGCCCCTTTTGTTGGGGAGGGTGGGACTGAAGTTGACAGAATTTAAGAAACTCTGCTCAGTCCTGGGGTGACCCAGGGTCCTCATGGTAGCCCAGCTGTGGACAGGCAGGCCTCCCCTGGTCACCCTCAGATTCCCAGTTCTTGGGGCAGCCCTGGGTCACGGGCCCTTTGACTGTCTGGTTTCACTCTTGCCGTCCCTTTGCATCAGCACTAACGAAGGACTCGTCTTTTCTCTGCCTGGTGAGGTTTGGAGACTCGAAGGAGGAGAGAGTGACACGCCACGACGGAGCCAGCTCGGACGGGCACCTGGCGCACGTCTTCAGACACGCGGCCAAGGAGCTGTTCGATGAGGACGTGGAGGAAGTCACTTACCGAGCCCTGAGGTGCGGGCGGGGTCAGAGGCAGCACCATGGCCTGTCTGCGTCTGCGGCTGGCACCAGGCAGGCTGCCTGCAGCCAGCGTGCGCAGGCCGTGCCTGTGTGTGCCGATGTTTCTTGTAGAGTCTACAGGGGAAAAATCCGAAGGCCTTTTTTGAGTTTATTCAGACTTTTTAATTTTGCTGAAATTCCAAACTTAGAAAATGTTTCTTAAGTCACAGATAAAGGACTTGACAGACGAAAACCCATTTTGTTCATTTTATAGAAACAAAGACTTCCAAGAGGTCACCCTTGAAAAGAACGGGCAGGTTTTGCTACGCTTTGCCGCTGCATACGGCTTTCGGAACATCCAGAACATGATCCTGAAGCTTAAGAAGGGCGCGTTGCCCTACCACTTCGTGGAGGTCCTCGCGTGCCCTGGAGGTAGGGTGCCAAGAGCAGGCGGCCGTCACCGGCCCCCAGAGCCTCACTCTGAACTCGGGCAGCTTGGCAGGGGTGCACTGTGCCCCTGCAGTGTATGCTGGGACATACTGGGCCCCATGGGTCCTGCTCCTTCCTACACACCCACGTAGCGTGAGGAGAGGGCTGCCCCCCACGGGAGGACCCACGGGGCACCAGGTGAGAGAGTCAGCAGGTACAGAGAACATGCCACCAGTCGAGGCACATGGGAGCTGAGGATGAGCTGGGTTGGTTCTCGAGTGAGGGGAGACCGGGGTGTGAGGGGGTAGGAGGGGCACCAGCCTGCGGCTCAGGGGCTCCCTGCTGTGGGGGGGAGGACAGAGCGTGGTTTGTGGATTGTGATCCTCCCAGCAGGTGAGGAGGGTATCCCAGACGGGGGAAGAGGAATGAGGGGCCCATGAGCAGGTCCAGAGCTGGGGGGCAGCCGTGGTGGCCCATCTGCACCCCAGTGGGGACTGGGCTGTCTGCCATCCTGACTGGACACCATGAGATACTCGAGGCGCGGTGCCAGGTGCAAGTCCAGAGGCTCCGTGATGGGCAGACGGGCATGGTGTGAAGCCACAGCAGGAGAAGAGGCACCTGTGAAGGGCGTGAGCACGGCTGGAGGCCCTGCCCTGGTGTCCTTTGACACATGGAGGAGGCGGGGCCGAGGCTCGGGGGAGAAGGCAGGGACCAGAGAGGCGAGCACTGGCTCTTGGGGAGGGCAGGTCCTGCAGCTGGGCTGAGGGACAGCAGGAGGTGGGGCTGGAGGTCTGGGAAGGAGAAGGTGGAGGTCAGAAGGTCAACCGTGGGTGCTATTCTGGAACCAGTGGATAGTGAGGTTTAACTAGGGTGGAAAATTTGCTCAATCTTTTTTGTTTGTGTCTTTGGTTTGGTTGTTTGCTTTTTAAAGAGACAGGGCATACGGTAGGGTCTCAACAAGGATAGAGTACATGGGGTCATCATAACTCACTACAGACTCGAACTCCTGGCCATAAATGATCCTTCTGTCTCAGCCTCCCAGGTAGTTGGGACTATAGGCATGTGCCACCACAACTATTTAACTTTTAAATTTTTTTCTTTTTAGAGATGGAGTCTTACTATATTATCCAGGCTGCTCTCAAACTCCTGGCCTCAGGGGATCCTCCCTCCCTCACCTCCCAATGTGCTGGGATTACAGGCATGAGCCACCACATCTGGCCAGTCTGAATTCCTTCATATGAATTTTTTTTTTATTTCAGAATATTACAGGGGTACAAATGTTTTTGGTTATGTGTATCAATTTTGTTATGCTTGAGTTAGGTTCATAAGTGTGCCCATCATCCAGATAGTGTTCATTTTACCCGTTAGGTAGGTTTTCACTCATCCCTTCCTACCACTTCCCCCCTGCTTGATCTCCACTGAGTTTTACTTCCCTCTATGCACATGTGTGCTTATTGGTTAGTTCCAGTTTAATAGGAAGTACATGTAGTGTTTGTTTTTCCATTCTGTAGATACTTCAGTTAGGATAATGGCCTCCAGTTCCATCCAAATTGTTGCAAAAGGACTTAATTCATCGTTCTTCAAGGCTGAGTAGAATCCGTAGTATGCATACACCACATTTTGTTAACCCACTCATGAATTGATGGGCACTTCAGCTGATTCCACATCTTTGCAATTGTGAATTGTGCTCTAATAAACATTCAAGTTCAGGTGTCTTTTTGATAAAAATGACTTCTTTTTCTTTGGGTAGGTATCCAGTAGTGGGATTGCTGGATCGAATGGTAGGTCTACTTTTAGTTCTTTGAGGAATCTCCGTACTGTTTTCCATAGAGGTTGTACCAGTTTGTAATCCCACCAACAGTGTTATAAGCTTTCCTTTCTCTCTGCATCCTTGCCAGCATCTATTGTTTGGGGACTCTTTATTTATTTTTATTTTTTTATTTTGTTTTATTCTTTTAGTGCAAACACAGTGTTTGAAACTTTGGGGACTTTTTAATAAAAGCCATTCTAACAGGAGAAGGGTGATACCCTTCATCATGGTTTCAATTTGCATTTCCCTGATAGTGATGCTGAGCATTTTTTCATATATTTATTGGCCATTATTAACTTCTTTTGAAAAGCTTCTGTTCATGTCTTTTGCCCACTTTTTAATGGGCTTGTTTTTTGTTTTTTTGGTTTTTTTTTCATTGCTGATTTTCTTGAGTTCTTTGTAGATTCTGGCTATTAGTCCTTTATCAGATATATAGTTTGGGAATATTTTCTCCCATTCTGTAGGTTATTTATTTACTCTATTGATTGTTTCCTTGACTGTGTGGAATCCTTTTAATTTAATCAAATCCTATTTATTTTTGTTGCTATGATTGCCATTGGGATTTTTTTTTTTTTGAGACAGAGTCTCGCTTTGTTGCCCAGGCTAGAGTGAGTGCCATGACGTCGGCCTAGCTCACAGCAACCTCAAACTCCTGGGCTTCAAGCAATCCTGCTGCGCTCAGCCTCACCCAGTAGCTGGGACTATGGGCATGCGCCACCATGGCCTGGCTAATTTTTTTCTATATAATTATAGTTGGGCCAATTAATTTCTTTCTATTTATAGTTAGAGACGCGGGGTCTCGCCCTGCTCAGGCTGGTTTCGAACTTCTGACCTCTAGCAATCCGCCCGTCTCAGCCTCCCAGAGTGCTAGGATTACAGGCGTGAGCCACCGCGCCCGGCCTGCCATTGGGATTTTTTTCATAAATTCTTAGCCTAGGCCGATATCTAGAAGAGTTTTCCCAACATTTTCTTCTATAATTGTTATGGTTTCATGCCTTACATTTAAATCTTTTATCCATCTTGAATTAGTTTTTGTGTCAAGAGATGGATCCTGTTTCAGTGTTCTGCATGTGGCTATCCAATTTTCCCAGCACCATTTATTGAATAGGGTTTCTTTTCCCCATTCGATATCATCTGTTTTGTCAAAGATCAGTTGGTTGTATATGGATGGGTTTATATCTGGGTTCTCTGTTCTTTTCCACTGGTCTATACTTCTATTTTTGTGCCAATATCATGCTGTTTTGGTTACTATAGCCTTGTAGTATAGTTTGAAGTTTAATGATAGGATGCCTCCAGATTTGTTCTTTTTGCTTTAGATTGCTTTGGCAATTTGGGCTCTTTTCTGGTTCTAAACGAGGCATTGTTTTTTTCTAGATCTGTGAAATATGGCATTGGTATTTTGATAGTGATTGCATTGAATCTGTAAATCAGCAGTCCCCAACCTTTTTGGCACCAAGGACTGGTTTCATGGAAGACAATTTTTTTTTTTTTTTTGAGACAGAAGTCTCGCTTGTTTGACCAGGCTAGAGTGATGTGCCGTGGCGTCAGCCTAGCTCACAAACCTCAAACTCTCGGCTCAATGCAATCCTTCTGCCTCAGCCTCCCGAGTAGCTGGGACTACAGGCATGCACCACCATGCCCGGCTAATTTTCTATATATATTAGTTGGCCAATTAATTTCTTTCTATTTATAGTGTAGAGACGGTCTTGTCTTGCTCAGGCTGTTTCAAACCTCCTGAGCCTCCGAGCACTCCGGCCTGCCTCAGCTCCAGAGTGCTAGGATTACAGGCGTGAGCCACCGCGCCCGGCCATGGAAGACAGTTTTTTCTATGAGGGGGTGCTGAGGGGCAGGAGGCAGAGCTCAGGCAGTGATGCTAGCCATGGGGTGTGGATGTAAATACAGACGAAGCTTCACTCGCTTGCCTGCCACTCACCTCCTGCTGTGCAGGGGCCCCCCCTCATTCCTAAGTTTCATGGAAGACAGTTTTTCCATGCATGGGGACCTGGGGGTGTGGTGGAGCTTTTCCGCCTGGTCCCTAACAAGCCACAGACCAGGGTTTGGGGACCACAGCTGTAGATCACTTAGGGTAGTATGGACCTTTTAACAGTGTTGATTGTACTGATCCACGAGCATGATATGTTTTTCCATTTGTTTGTGTCATCTGTGATTTCTTTCCTAGGTGTTTCGTAGTTCTCTTTGTATACATCTTTCACCTCTTTGGTTAAGTATATTCCTAGGCATTTTATTTTCTTTGTTGCTATTATGAATGATACTTAGTCTTTGATTTGACTCAGCTTGACTGTTGTTGGAGTATAGGAATGCTACTGATTTTGTAGCCTGAGACTTTGCTGAATTTATCAATTCTAGGAGTCTCTTGGTGTAGAGTCTTTGAGGGTTTCTAGATAGAAGATCATATTGTTAGCTCAGATGAATTTTCATACTACTAATCATGACATCATCTGACGCATTTGACAGGAAATAGTCCAGTATGCAGGAGACAGGTTTTTATTGAGACTATTGTTGGGTGTGTGGGCTCAGGCATGGGCACACCCCACCTGTCCCCAGGTGCAGCCCCAGCTGAGGCCAGCACACCAGCACTAATGCACAGTAAGGGTGGGAATGGGTGAACTGCTTGTTCCCAATCCTCATTCTCTCCTGGTATCAATACATTCCAAGAGAAGTTGGAACTATGGATTTGCATGCAAAGCCACCCAGTTCTCAGAGTGGCAGCCTATTTAGGTTTTAGGTGAAGCCATCTCGTGGGTGAGAATGAGGCGCACAGAGCTATGAGCTGGCTCCGGGCCCCACTCTGGTTTAGGCTGCACAGCTGCACCTCCTTTTCATTCCTCTCCCGCTCCCAAACTGTTTCCTCTAAGGTGAACGCTTCCTTAAAACTGAATATCCCCAAGGAAGGAACCAGCTTACCTGTGCGTGTCTTTCAGGATGCTTAAACGGCAGAGGCCAAGCCCAGACCCGGGACGGCCGCGTGGACAAGGCCCTGCTGCGGCAGATGGAAGGCATCTACTCCGACATCCCCGTGCGGCCCCCGGAGACCAGCGCGCACGTGCAGGAGCTGTACCAGCAGTGGCTGGAGGGGGTCGACTCCCCCAAGGCCCAGGAGACGCTGCACACCACGTTCCAGAGCCCGGAGCCCTGCGCACACGGCCTGGACATCAGGTGGTAGAGAGCCGGGCAGGGCGTCGCTGTGGGAGGAGGGCTGCTGTGTGTGGAGTATTAAAGACACTTAAAGGAAACAACGCAGCGGGTGGCCTTGGTTTCTCAGAGGTCTGTGCTGCACCGTTACCAGAGGCCCCTCGTGCAGTTCCACATGGTGCCATCTTCCTCAAGTGTGTGGGATTTGAATGTTTTCACATGAGAGGACTTCCCCAACCTCAGTATCTTTTTATCCCAAGATTGTGGAAAAAATCCCAAAGAGTGAGAACAGAGATGGATTACTGTGTTTTAGGTTTTAAAAACAATCCAAAAAGTGTCCTGTGAGGAGCCAGGCCCCCAGAGGTCACATGCCCTGGTCAAATGCCTCAGAGGTCACATGACCTGGGCGTGAAGGCAGAGGGCGGGATAGGGCCCAGGGACACCGGCAGCCTCGGGCCTCCAGGGCATGGTCCTAGCTTCCTTGTCCTTTCTGGGTTTTATTTTTACCCACTGTGTTACCTTATAAAGGTTTTTGCCAGAATGAATAAATAGCCAACTTTTAGAATCAAGAGATTCATAATATAAATCTGGATTTCTAGCTTTTCTTATTAAAAAAACCTAAGTTTTGGCAGCAGTAGGCCATGTTCCTCATAGTCAGACCAGAATGCAGCAGCCGCCACCCCCTGGGTCCACAGCAAGGGCCCAGTGGCACTGGTGACTTAGGTCCCAACTGCAACTTGCACATCCTTCTGAGCTGGACTCAGAGAAAGGCCTAGCAGGGGTGACAAGTGTCACAAACTGTGGACCCAGAAACGCTGCCCGCCAAGCTCCTGCCAGTGCTGTCGGGTTGGAGGTGGGGTGGCCAGGCCCTGCTGGCCCTGGGGCAGGAGAGAGCTTTCCAAGGGCCGGCCTCCTCGGAACACTTTCCTGTTGTCCTCAGATAGGATTTTCTCACACAGTGGACCTGCTCAGTCTGCTCGCTCTGCCAGGCCTCTGCTCATTGGCAGGTTCCAACCTGCGCCGCACTGCTGGTGTGAGCTCACTTAGAGAGGACAAGGTGGTTAATCCACAAGGGGCTGGAAACCCACTGGAAGTCCACAGAGTGGCGTCACTGCACTCTAGGTTCTTCCTGGGGAAGAGGTAAAGGCAGGCAGCCTGACGGGCCAGGGTCAGCTTTACGGAGCCCTTAGACTTGGTCAGGGTGAGTGGTGATGTCGCTGACTCTCAGTGTGATAGAGCCCTGCACCGTGTTCATGTGCTATACCTACCTACCTATCCCATGGAAAATTGGATATATTATTTTATGTTGTGTATCTTTTTTCCTTTCAGTGTATACACAATTGGGTTTCCATCCTCAAGTAGCTGATTACAGAATAAACAGTTTAGTGTCTGAGTGCGGAGCACTGGGTACCCAGATGTTGTTCTCCCCAGCTACGCCACGTCCCTTTCCACCCCTGAGCCCAGGTGGCCTCACCTTGTACTTCCTGAGATGTCACCTAGTGTGGAGTTGGCAGTCGTCCTATCTCCTAGTGTGGAGTTGGCAGTCGTCCTATCTCCCTTCCAGGTTGCGGAAGCAGGTGTGGGCTGCCCTCTTCCAGCTGCAGTGGAGAAATCTCCCTCTGGGAGAACCGTCACACACGTCCACCACAGCCAGCCTGCCACAAAGCCTCCTGCGGACCTCCAGGGAGGCTAGGCTGAGGGAGTGGACGTTAAAACGTGACCTGGGGTCTTACCGTGGCTGAGCATGGGGTATGGCTGTGTGTGTTTTCTCTCTGCACAAGAGAACAGTACAGTGAGGGGCAGCACAGAGGCCAGGCTGGGTGTGGTAGTGGACAGTCTGCTGGTAAGCCCTGCTGGCCCTGGCGTGGGGAGGGCAGGGGAGCCCAGACATCCATTCCAATAAAGCCACCACTGTGCAGGAACTTTCCGCCTCTGCTGGAGTTCTGGTGCTGCCGTGGTTTGCAGTGGGCCTGACCACATGTGATCAAATAAACGTGTGTACTGCTGTCCTGGTCACTAGATCTGCATTTTGGTGCTTGTGGTCTGGCTGGCCAGGCCCAGATTGCTCAATCCTGTTTCCCCCTGGCCTTAGAGCTGATGCTCTTTAGCAGGGGCGCACTGTCCACGTGGGTCCTTCCTTAGCACGTCCACTGTGCCTGCTCCATGGGGCGGACGTCAGCCCATGGTGTGTCCCACGGCTTCACCTGCTGGTCTAAACTGAGCAGTGGACCTGTCGGGCCCAGGACCTGCGTGGTCGTGTAACCTCCCACTGCATCCAGGCCAGATGAGGGAACGATGGAGCTTGCCCCAGTCCACTCAGCAGCCTGGTAGGGCCCAACATTTGCATTTCTGCTTCACCTCTTTCCACTTGGATCGCTTGGCTTTTGTGTAAAGCACACAAGCTCTCAACTCTGATGGTTAGGAAATGTGAGTCCACCACTGCAGAAGGTGTGCCGTCATTTTTGGATACAGGCTGGACTTTGCATGAGAATGAGCTGTGTGTCTTGAAAACAAGGAGAGCACATGCCAGGCCCGAACACTTATTTTTAAATTTGAAAAATTTCCAGGCATGGTGGCGCCTGTAGTCCCAGATACTACTTGGGAGGCTGAGGCAGGAGGATCGTTTGAGCCCAGGAGTTGAAGACTGCAGTGAGCTATGATTGTGCCACTGTACTCCAGCCTGGGCAAAAGAGCAAGACCGTGTCTCTAAAAAATAAATAGAAATGCAAATGATTTTTATTTTTGCCCAGTAGGTGAATGATTTTTATCAAGTACTGAGCTTGGTGAGAAGAGCAGGTGCTCACCTGCTATTGGCCAGAATACAATTTGGCAGTAACGCCCTGACTTAAGACAAAAAAGTCCCTGGGGTTTGACTCCTAGGAGCCTTCCCTACAGCAGTACCTGAAGGCGCTCGTTACTGTGTGTGTAGAAAGAGTGAACCATTCGCAACACCTAGCCACAAGTTCTCCAGTGAACCTGGTCAGGTATTTGTCAGTATGTCCAGAAGCAGTTGAAGTACGAAACGGCACAGGGCAGCCCCACAGCAGCATTACCTGATCTCTAATGTCCGCAGCGCCGAGGTGGAGAAACCAGCGTGTGGTGGTGCTCAGTCGAAGTCAGCTCATCATCGTCACTGAGTCCTCAAGGGATCACGTCTCAGTGGTCAGGGTGTGGGATGACAGCCTGTGTGGCTCCGACCTCAGATGGTTACAGCCCCGCGGAGGTGACAGTCCTGTGTTCAGGAAGGCAGTGCTGGCCAGGCTGCTGAGCGACTCCAGAATCGTGTGGCTCAGCAAGTTGCTTTAACTGGTCTGTGCCTCAGGGTCCTCCTTGTAAAATGGACATAAACCCACCATGGGGGGAGGCTTAGGCAGGAGAGTGCTCAGATCAGCTCCGGGCACAGTGCTCAATAAACGTCAGGTGTTACCTTCCTAAAGAAAAAAAAGTACGAAGTAGATTTTTATGTGCTGACCTGGAAGTCTCAGAACAAGCCATACAGTGTGAGCTCCTTTTGGTCTCCTTTTTCTAAGCCAAAATGAGAGAGAGGGAAAAAAATTGGATTTTGAAAAAAAAAAAATCAAGAACTCCCCAGGGTCGGCTCCTTCTGCAGGGAGGGAGGAGAGGACCAAGAGCACGTTCCTGAGTGGATGTCTTGAGTTCTTACCTGGTGGGGTCCCAGGTGAGTCAGCTCCCAGGCTCGCTGAGCACGGACAGGAAGGTGGAGGGAATAAAAGGGCCGCTAGGTGTTGGCATGTGGCCCCTGCTCTTAACTCAGGTTTGCTGGTATTTCAGTCCAGTAGTCGTTGAACATCACATTGTGGAACTGGCTTACCTTCGCGAGGTGCTCCGTCAACGGACTTGGGATCCAGGAATGCAAGTAGAGTCACTGAGGATGACTCCACAGGAGAGAAAAGGAAAGTCCCTAGCGAGAGATGGTTTTCGATCCATTCGATCCTCTGGGTTTATGGGCGCTCCAGCACGCTTCCGCTGTCGGCCACTTCTGCTGTGCTTTCTAGGCTTTTGTGCTGACTTCATTTTATATGGTGACCCATTTTCTATTAGCCTCTCCCACCTTGCATTGCTGACCCCTGCTGGCCAGGGGGACTAACCCGTGACTAACTGGTGACCACCTGGGCAAGGCAGCGCCCAACTACAAATAAACTGGACTTTGGTTTTCCCTCCTTCTAAGTCTTCTTTATGGAAGAGTGATCAGTGAATTCTATTGGTCCTTTTTTCTTGCTGTTAAAGACAAAATGCTGGCCGGGCGCAGTGGTTCATGCCTGTAATCCCAGCAATTTGGGAGGTCCGAGAGCTGATCTTGAGGCCCAGCCTATAACACATATCATGATCCTCTGTCTTACAAATATATTTTGCAATATATTTAGGTCCGGGCGTGTTTGGTGGTCTCTCACCTGTAGTTTACCTCTACTCTACTCTGGGAGTCCTGAGGCGGTGGAATCGTTGATGCTCAGGAGTTCGAGACTAGCCTACAAGTAGCGAGAACCATCTCTCTTAATTATATATAGAAAGTAATCAGCTCTGGACCTTATTAATATATATTTATATTATTATTTTTTTATGCCTGGCAAGGTGGCACATGCCTGTAGTCCCAGCTACTCGGGAGCCTGAGGCAGGAAGATCGCTTGAGCCCAGGAGATTGAGGTTGCTGTGAGCTAGGCTGAACGCCACAGCACTCACTCTTAGCCTGGCGAAACAAAGCAAACGACTCCTGTCTCAAAAAACAAAACAAAAAAAAAATCACCAGACCCAGTGTTACATACCTGTAGTTCCAGCTACTTGAGAGGCTGAATCATGAGGATCCCTTGAGGCCAGGAGCTTGAGGCCATGGTGCACCATGATTACACCCCAGAATAGTCACTGTGTTCCAGCCTGGGCAATGCAGCAACACCGCATCTCCAAAAAAAAAAAAAAAAAAAGGAAGAGACACAACCTGTATAGTTCAAAGTGTCCATATCCTTGGACATGGTGACAGTTCTGTATTTCGGTGGTGGTTGGATTTTGGAAAGGAACAAAAATAGCATTTCTCCCATCAGTTCAAAATGACTTCTAATTTGTTTAATTACAAACAAACTATCCTTTTAATTCTGCTTCTCTCGACCTACTTCTTCCCAGTAGCCAAGGAAGCCATTTCTTGCAAAAGAAACTGCTTAAAATTAACGTGTCATGAAATCTTGGAATTCAGTTTTACAAGAAACTGATTTGAAGAGAATCACAAAGAAAAACTTACATTTTCAACGAAGTATAAACTGTTCCCCTAAGAACATGTTGGACATAGATCTTTTGGAGGGGGTAATCTTTGAATTAGCATTGTGAAAAGTCAGGGAAACTTGTGGTTGCAGATAGAAGAGTACCTCCGCTCTTGAACTAACAGAAGCATCAGGAAAAAGAAAGACTGAAACTTCTGGGATGAAACTGTAAGTACCAGCCAGGATACTCGAAGATAGCTGCAGCTGGTTTAATGAATTATTTTTACAAGCAGGGTTGAAGGAGGCCAGCAGGGGTCGTGACCACCCCAGCACTGGCCACAGCAGTGAACAATCAGTATACA